TTAATTATCAAAAAAAAAAAAAATCAAGGACCTTGCAAAAAATCCACGTCTATAAATTATCAAAAAAAAAATCAAGGGCCTTGAAAAAAAATATTTTAAAAAATCCACGTCTGTTAATTATCAAAAAAAATAAGGACTTGGAACAAAATATTTAAAAAAATCCACGTCTATTTATTACCAAAAAAACTTAATGGCCTTGAAAAAAATAGTTAAAAAATCCATGTTTGTTAATTATCAAAAAAAAAATCAAGGACTTTGAAAAAAAAATATTTTAAAAAATTCACGTCTGTTAATTATCACAAAAAAAAAAAAAAAATAAGGACCTTTAAAAAATCCACGTCTGTTAATTATCAAAAAAAAAAAGATCAAGGACCTTGAAAAAAATATTTAAAAAAAACCACATCTGTTAATTATAAAAAAAATCGAGGACCTTGAAAAAAATATTTAAAAAAAACCACATCTGTTAATTATAAAAAAAATCAAGGACCTTGAAAAAAAATTATTTTAAAAATCCACGTCTATTAATTATAAAAAAAATCAAGGACCTTGAAAAAATATTTTAAAAAATCCACGTCTGTAAATTATCAAAAGAAAATCAATGACCTTGAAAAAAATAGTTAAAAAATCCACGTCTATTAATTATCAAAAAATTAAGGACCTTGAAATAAATAGTTTAAAAAAATCCACGTCTATTAATTATCAAAAAAAAAAAAATAAATAAATAAATCAAGGACCTTGAAAAAAATATTTAAAAAAATCCACGTCTATTTATTATCAAAAAACATATTTAAAAAAATCCAAGTCTGTTAATTATCAAAAAAAATAATGTTGAATAAATGTCCTCGAAAAAATATTTAAAAAACTCCACTTATCCTAATTAAAGAGTCCTTTTGAAAAGAATTAAAAATATAAATTTGTTAATTAAAGGACATTAAAAAGCTATATTTCCAAAAATCCACATCTGTTAATTATGAAAAAAAATCAAGGAAAGCAAAAATCAAAAAATATTTAAAAAAGTCCACTTCTGTTACTTTTCAATAGAAATCAAGGACCTTGAAAAAAATACTTAAAAAAATCTACGTTCTGTTAATTCTCAAAAAAAACATGAAGGACCTTGATAAAAATAATTAAAAAATCCACATCTGTTAGTTATCAAAAAAAATCAAGGACCTTGAAAAAAAATATTTTAAAAAATCCACTTCTGTTAATTATCAAAAAAAATTAAGGACCTTGAAAAAAATATTTAAAAAATCCACGTTTATTAATAAAACTGTCCTTAAAAATATATATATTTTAAAAAATCCACATTTGTTAATTGAAAAGTCCTTAAAAAATATATTTTAAAAAATTTGCCCTTGTTAAAAAACAGGTTCTTAAAAAAAATATTTTAAAAAATCCACCTTTGTTAATTGAAAGGTCCTTGAAAAAAATATTTAAAAAAATCTACTTTTGTGGATTGCAGATCCATTAATTATAATATTTTAAAGCAATAACATTTGTTAATTCAAAGGTCCTTGAAAAAATATTTTAAAAAATCCAAGTTTGTTGAAAAGTTCTACGTTTTAAGTACTTAAAAATATTTAAAAAATCTACGTTTGTAGGTCCTTGAAAAAAAATTTTAAATATCCACGTTTGTTAATTTAAAGCTTCTTGATAAGAAAATATTTAAAAAATTCAAGTTAGTCAATAAAAATATATTTATAAAAATCCAAGTTTGTTAAGGAGGTCCTTGAGAACTATATATAAAAAAATCTACATTTTTAGGTCCTTAAAAATAATTTAAAAAATCTACGTTTGTGGGTCCTTGAAAAAAAAAACTAAAAAAAATATATAAAAAAATCCATGTTTGTCAATTAAAAGGACCTTAAAAAAAGGTAATTTGAAGAAAAAATTATTTAAAAAATCCATGTTTAAGAGCTAAAAAAAAAACAAAAAAAGATCCTTGAAAAAATTATTTAAAAAATCCATGTTAAAGAGCTAAAAAAACAAAAAAAGATCCTTGAAAAAATTATTTAAAAAAATGTAATTAAAAAATCCTTAAAAATAATATTTTACAAATAACTCACGTTTGTTGATAGAATGGTCATTGAAAAAAATATCAATATGAATTTTATTATTTAAAATATTTAAATAATTAACAAACGTGATTTTTTTTAATATTTTTTAAGGAACTTAAATTAATAAATGTCGATTTTTTCAATATATATATATTTTTTTTACTTTTCTTAACGACTTTTCAATTAACAAACGTAGATATTCAAAGGCCTTTTAATAAACGAATTTGGATTTCTCTAAATATATTTTCAAGGACCTTTAAATTAAAAAACTTGGATTTTTCTAAATATTTTTTCAAGGGCCTTTCACTTAATAAATTTTAATTTTTTTACATATTTTTTTCAAGGACCTTTCAATTAAGAAACGTGGATTTTTTGAATATTTTTTTCAATGACCTTTTAATAAACAAATGTGGATTTTTCTAAATATTTTTTAAGGGCCTTTCAGTTACTAAATTTTAGGTTTTTTAAATATTTTTTTCAAGGACCTTTCAATTAAGAAACGCGGGTTTTTTAAATATTTTTTTCAAGGACCTTTCAATTAAGAAAAGTGGATTTTTTGAATATTTTTTCAAGGACCTTTAAATAAAAAACTTGGATTTTTTAAATATTTTTTTCAAGGACCTTTTAATTAAGAAGCGTGAATTTTTTAAATATTTTTTTTCAAAGACCTTTCAATTAAGAAAAGTGGATTTTTAAATATTTTTTTCAAGGACCTTTAAACAAATGTGGATTTTTTTTAATATTTTTTTCAAGGACCTTTCAATTAAGAAAAGTGGATTTTTTGAATTTTTTTTCAAGGACCTCTAAATTAAAAAACTTGGATTTTTTAAATATTTTTTTCAAGGACCTTTCAATTAAGAAAAGTGGAGTTTTTGAATTTTTTTTTCAAGGACCTCTAAATTAAAAACTTGGATTTATTAAATATTTTTTTCAAGGACCTTTTAATAAATGTGATTTTTTTTAATTTTTTTTCATGGATCTTCTAATTAAGAAAAGTGGATTTTTAAAATATTTTTTCAAGGATTAAAGGATCTTGGATTTTTTTAATATTTTTTTAAGGACCTTTCAATTAAGAAACGTAGATTTTTTAAATATTTTTTTCAAGGACCCTTAAATTAAAAAATTTGGACTTTTTAAATATTTTTTTCAAGGGCCTTTTAACAAATGTGGATTTTTTTAAATATTTTTTTAAGGACATTCCAATTAAGAAATGTGAATTTTTTAAATATTTTATCAAGGACTTTCAATTAAGAAAAGTGGATTTTTTTAATATTTTTTCAAGGACCTTTTAATTAACAAATGTGGATTTTTCTAAATATTTTTTTTAAGGGCCTTTCAATTAATAAATTTTATTTTTTTTACATATTTTTTTCAAGGACCTTTCAATTAAGAAACGTGGATTTTTTGAATATTTTTTTCAATGACCTTTTAATTAAAAAAATTGGATTTTTTAAATATTTTTTCAATGACATTTAAATTAAAAAATTGTATTTTTTAAATATTTTTTCAAGGACCATTTAATAAATGTGGACTTTTTAAATATTTTTTTTAAGGACCTTCTAATTAAAAAACGTGGATTTTTTAAATATTTTTTTCAAGGACCTTTCAACTAAGAATAGTGGATTTTTTTAATATTTTTTCAAGGACCTTTCAATTAAGAAACGTGGATTTTTTAAATATTTTTTTAAGGACCTTTCAATTAAGAAACGTGGATTTTTTGAATATTTTTTTCAAGGACCTTTAAATTAAAAAACTTGGATTTTTTAAATATTTTTTTTTCAAGGACCTTTATATTAAAAAACTTGGATTTTTTAAATATTTTTTTCAAGGACCTTTTAAAAAATGTGATTTTTTTATTTTTTTTTTTAAGAACCTTTCAATTAAGAAAAGCGGATTTTTTGAATATTTTTTTTCAAGGACCTTTTAATTAAGAAACGTGAATTTTTTAAATATTTTTTGAAAGACCTTTCAATTAAGAAAAGTGGATTTTTTGAATATTTTTTTCAAGGACCTCTAAATTAAAAAACTTAGATTTTTTAAATATTTTTTTCAAGGACCTTTTAATTAAGACAAGTGGATTTTTTTTAATATTTTTTAAGGATCTTTTAATTAAGAAAAGTGGATTTTTTTAATATTTTTTCAAGGACCTTTCAATTAAGAAAAGTGGATTATTTGAATATTTTTTTCAAGGGCCTTTCAATTAAGAAAAGTGGATTTTTTGAATATTTTTTTTCAAGGACCTTTCAATTAAGAATAGTGGATTTTTTTAATATTTTTTCAAGGACCTTTCAATTAAGAAAAGTGGATTTTTTTGAATATTTTTTTCAAGGACCTTTAAATTAAAAAAAATGGATTTTTTAAATATTTTTTCAAGGACCTTTTAATTAAGAAACGTGAATTTTTTAAATATTTTTTTGAAAGACCTTTCAATTAAGAAAAGTGGATTTTTTGAATATTTTTTTCAAGGACCTTCTAATTAAGAAAAGTGGATTTTTAAAATATTTTTCCAACGACCTTTAAATTAAAAAACTTGGATTTTTTAAATATTTTTTTCAAGGACCTTTTAACAAATGTGGATTTTTAAATATCCTTTCAAGGACCTTTTAACAAATGTGGATTTTTTTAAATATTTTTTCAAGGATTTGTTTATTAAAATATTTTTAGGTCCTTTTAATTAATAATTTTTATACCCTCCACCATACTATGGAGGGTATATTAACCTTGGCCCTGCGGAGCTTACTCCTTTTTAAATTGTTAAATTTAAAATTTTTAAAATTATTTTTTTTTTAATAAAACATTTTTCAATGGCCTTTTTTTGAATATCTTCAAAGGCCTTAAATATATCCGTGAATTAATTCCAACTAGGCTTTCAAAAACTCTTAAACTTCAAAATTAAATCAATTCCTTTGTAAACTCCCACAAAAATTTCAAAGTCAAAAATCATTTTTTTTTTTTTTTTCTTAAATTTCCAACTTTATTTGTAAACATTTCTTCGTTTATTTCTAACATTTCTAATTAACATTACCACAGGCCATATCAATGGCATTTATTAGACTTTAACAATTGACCTCAAAACCACAGCTTCTTTGGGTAGCAACTCAATTCGACTGCTGGCCACTTTATCGCTGCAAAGACAAACAAAAGAATGAAAACCGAAAAGGAAAAAAAAAACAGAAATCCCAAATGAATATAAAATCCAATTTAAAGTTTAACTCCGAAGAGGAAAGTTAAAGAAGAGCCGAACAAAAAAAACGGCAATAAAACACGAATTAAAAGTCACTTACCCCTTGCGACGAATTGACTTGTCGCTGAGGACAACATATTCAAATTCAGCGGGTAGGTTCTTAAAGGCATCGTTTAGGTTCACCACTTGCTGGGAATCGAAAATGTTCATGAGGGTAATGTAGGTGTAGTCATTGGCCAGGGAGCTGGAAGGGAGGAGAAGATAATATTTTTTATAAAAAAAAAAAATAAAAATTCCCCCTCTCTTACCGTTTAATACCCAACACATCATGGCTAAAGGCCTTGACCTCCGTTGAACCCTCTCTGAGCGTCTCCTCATGCCTTAGATTCTGCAGTTCCTTGAAAACATTCAAATGACTACGGGCAATACCCCGCTGCCTTTTCAGATTCTCCATTTTATAATTGGGACTGACGGGCAACCAGGTCTTATCGCCATCTGAAAATCCTGAATTTTTCTCATCACTCCACTGGAAGGGTGTGCGTGCCGGATCTCGGGATCTATACTCATAGCCATCCTCATGGCCATTACATGCCTGAGGATCCACTGTCTCCTCCCATGAAATCCAAACATCTGTCATGCCAATCTCCTCGCCATTATAGGTTATGCTACAACCGGGCAGGGTGAGCAGCAACATATTGAACATATCAATGCGATCGGCTCCGAATCTTGTACCCACACGATTCTTATCATGATTACCCACCACCCAGTTGGCCGTACGTCCCGCCGGCATCAGTTTTAGCCATTCGTTGATGAGGTTGTCATAATGATAGGCATCTGAATCATTCCACAAATAACTGATCATTTGGAAATTGAAAGGGATCTGGGCACCGTCGGCTGTGGCATTGCCATAATACTCCATGACAATGTTGATGGGGGACCAGGTCTCCACCATGAGGATTCTGGAAAAGAGGAAAAAAAAATTGGTAATTTTTAAAAAAAAATATTTTTCTAATTTTATTCCAAAATGTCGACTTCTTTGTGGGGGAGGTACCAGAAGGAGTGGACCGACATATCCCACCTTCAGAGCAGATCTTGTTTTAATAAAAATATTCGGATATATAAAATGTAAAGGGAATCGAATGCTTATTTCGCATTGTATGAGAGATATAATTATTCAAAAATTTTGACCCCTTTGTGGGGGAGGTACCAGAAGGAGTGGACCTACACTCTCCATATTCATACCTGGTCTTGTATTGATAGAAACATTAAGATGTGCCAAGTCCGAAAGTAATCTGATTCTTATTTCGCATTTTATGAGGATTATAATTATTCAAAAATTTTGACCCGTTGTGGGGGAGGTACCAGTAGGAGTGGACCGACATATCCCACCTTCAGAGCAGAACTTGTGTTAGTAAAAATATTGGGATGTGTGACGTTTGAAGAGTATCGAATGCTAATTTCGGATTTTATGAGAGATAGAATTTTTCAAAATTTCGACCCCTTTGTGGGGGGGGGTACCAGTAGGAGTGGACCGACATATCCCACATTCACACCAGATCTTGTGTTAGTAAAAATTTTAAGATGTATGAAATTTGAAGAGATTCGGATAAATATTTCGCAATTTTTTGGGAGATAAAATTATTCCAAATTTTGACCCTTTGTGTGGGAGGTACCAGTAGGAGTCGACCGACATATCCCATCTTCAGAGCAGATCTTGTTTTAATAAAAATATTCGGATATATAAAATTTAAAGGGAATCGGATGCTTATTTCGCATTTTATGAGAGATATAAATATTCCAAATTTTGACCCCTTTGTGGGGGAGGTACCAGAAGGAGTGGTCCGATATATTCCTCCATCACACCAGATCTTGTATCCTTGAAAATGTTGAGATGTATGAAATTTGAGGAGAATCGGATGATTATTTCGCATTTTATGAGAGATATAATTATTCAAAATGTTAACCTCTTTGTGGGGGAGGTACCAGAAAAAGTGGACCGACATATCCCATATTCATAGCTGATCTTTTGTTGATAGAAATATTGAGATATGCTGAGTTCGACAATAATCGGATGCTTATTTCGCATTTTATGAGAGATATAAATATTCCAAATTTTGACCCCTTTGTGGGGGAGGTACCAGAAGAAGTGGACCGATATATTCCATCTTCGCCCGAGATCTTGTGTTAATAAAAATATTGAGATTTGCAAAATTTTAAGTTAGTCGAACGCTCACTTAATGTTTTATTCAAAATTATAATTATTCCAAATTTTGACCCTTTGTGGGGGAGGTACTCAATAGGGTGAGCCGATATGGCCCATTATTTGTACCTGACCTTGCACTGACAAAAAAATTTGGATTTTAAAAGTTTGGACAATATCGAATCATATTTTCCCTTTCTACGAGGCCAAATATTTTCTTTGAAAATTTTGACCTTTGTGGGGGAGGTACCAGAAGGAGTGGACCGATAAATCCCATATTCTTCCGAGTTCTTGTGTTGATAAAAATATTGAGATTTGCAAAATTTGAAGTTAGTCGGACTCTTAGTTGACATTTTATTCAAAATTATAATTATTCCAAATTTTGACCCTTTGTGGGGGAGGTACTTAATTGAGGGGGCCGATATTGCCCATTTTCGTAGCTGTCCTAACGTTGATAAAAATATTGAGATTTGCAAAATTTGGACCATATCGAATGATCCTTTCTTGTTCTACACGGTAAATTATTTTCTTTGAAAATGTTGACCTTTGTGGGGGAGCTACCAGAAGGAGTGGACCGATATTGGCCATCTCCAAGCTTGATGAAGGATTGAGAATAAAATTACGATGTTCGAAGTTTGGACAAAATTGGATACTCTCTTGGAGAGTTATCGAGCGCTTCAGCCAGCCGGACAGACGGACAGACGGAAGGACATCCCTAGATCGACTACAATTATCCTGAAACGGATTTGGTCCAAAGAGACCTATGATCTAACACTATTATTTCGATAAGGCGGGTATCAAGGATATTTACCCTCTGCAGACATATGGCTGAGAGTATAAAAATCCACGTTTGTTGGGATATTGGAAACCAATTTAAAAAAAAAATCACTCACCTCTCATCTCCACCATTTTCCTTACGGAAATCATCCAAGAGCTTGCGCCATTCATAGACCAAATGGGGAGTTTCAGGTTGATCCACGGTGTAGATATGATGGAGATAACCATAATCATCGGGATCATCGGTCCAATCATTACGGGGCTCATCTGGATAATTGCCCTCGGCATCGGGCGCCACCTCAAAGGCATGGTAAATGGCATCGACACGGAAGCCATCAATGCCCTTGCGTAACCAGAAACGTAAAATTTCCTGAAAAACAACCAAGATTTTTGTTTTAAATCGTTCCCCTCCCCCTCCCCTCCAATACTCACATTCATTGCCTCTCGCACTTTGGGATTGCGAAAATTAAAATCCGGTTGCTTTTTGTGGAACTGATGCAGATAGTATTCCTGTCTACCCTCATGCCATTCCCAGGCGGAGCCACGGAAAACACTCACCCAATTATTTGGCACCGTCCGGCTACCATTGACAATTTTCCCTGGATGCCAGATATAATAATCTTTATATTCGGGATCTCTGGCCGCGGATTTGATAAACCATTCACACTCATCACTCGAGTGGTTGGGTACAAAATCCAAAATAATGCGAACACCTAGCTCTTTCGATTTTTTCATCATATCTTCAAAATCATCCATGGTACCAAAGAGCGGATCAACTTCGGTGAAATTCGAGATGTCATAACCAAAATCAGCCATGGGAGATTTTAAAAATGGCGATAGCCATGTGGCAGCCATGCCAATCTCTTTCAGATAGGCCAATTTACTGGTCACGCCCTTCAGATCGCCCACACCATCGCCATCGCTGTCCTTAAAGGATCGTGGATAGATTTGATAGAACGAGGCCGTTTCCCACCATTCCTTGGCTTCCACTTGAGTTCGGGTAAGGCAAAGTCCCAGCAGAACCACTAGAGAGCACCAGCAATATGTCGTCCACTTCGCCATCGTGACGTTAAGTGTTTAAGTGGTTTATTCGGAATTAATTTTTTTCCATTCGTTTCAACTCCGTATTTTAGATTTGATAAGCTTTACGGGGTAATCAACAGCCCCTGCTAATCTTTATTTGACCATATGGGAAAAAAGAAAAAAACAACAACAAAATCGATTAATGGAACATTTCGATTAGGCTATATCTTTATGGCTTCCACCCCATTAACGTCTTTGGGGGGATATGCTGAGATATTAAAAAAAAAAAAAAATATTGAAACTTGATAAACAATGTAAAATCGGAAAACATTTTCAAAAATTCGAAAAATTTGAAACTTTAATGGAAACCTTCGAAAAAAATTCCACGTTTGTGGGATTTTGTAAAGAATAATTTTAAAAAAATCCACGTTTGTGGAAATTTGTAAAAAATATTTTTTAAAAAATCCACGTTTGTGGAAATTTGTAAAAAATATGTTTTAAAAAATCCACGTTTGTGGAAATTTGTAAAAAATAATTTTTAAAAAATCCACGTCTGTAGGATTTTCAAAAAAATAATTTTTAAAAAATCCACGTCTGTGGGATTTTGTAAAAAATAATTTTTAAAAAATCCACGTCTGTAAGATTCTCAAAAAAATAATTTTTAAAAAATTCACGTCTGTAGGATTTTCAAAAAAATAATTTTTAAAAAATCCACATCTGTGGGATTTTGTAGAAAATTATTTTTAAAAAATCCACGTCTGTAAGATTTTCTAAAAAATAATTTTTAAAAAATCCACGTTTATTGAAATCTTTGAAAAATAATTTTTAAAATATCCACGTTTTTTTGAAATCTTTAAAACATAATTTTTAAAAAATCCACGTTTATTAAAAAATAATTTTTAAAAAATCCACGTTTATTGAAATCTTTGAAAAACTAATTTTTAAAAAATCCACGTTCATTGAAATCTTTGAAAAATAATTTTTAAAAAATCCAAGTTCATTGAAATCTTAGAAAAAATAATTTGTAAAAAATCCACGTTTATTGAAATCTTGGAAAAATAATTTTTAAAAAATCCACGTTTATTAAAATCTTGGAAAAATAATTTTTAAAAAATCCACGTTCATTGAAATCTTTGAAAAATAATTTTTAAAAAATCCAAGTTCATTGAAATCTTAGAAAAAATAATTTGTAAAAAATCCACGTTTATTGAAATCTTGGAAAAATAATTTTTAAAAAATCCACGTTTATTAAAATCTTGGAAAAATAATTTTTAAAAAATCCACGTTTTTGAAATCTTTGAAAAATAATTTTTAAAAAATCCACATTTATTGGAATCTTGGAAAAATAATTTTTAAAAAATCCACGTTTATTGAAATCTTTAAAAAATAATTTATAAGAAATCCACGTTTATTGAAATCTTTAAAAAATTATTTTTAAAAAATCCACGTTTATTGAAATCTTTAAAAAATAATTTTTAAAAAATCCACTCTTATTGAAGTTTTGGAAAAATAATTTTTAAAAAATCCTCGTTTTTTGAAATCTTTGAGAAGTAATTTTTAAAAAATCCACGTTTGTTAAATCTTTGAAAAATAATTTTTTAAAAATCCAGGTTTATTAAATCTTTGAAAAATAATTTTTAAAAAATCCACTCTTATTGAAGTTTTGGAAAAATAATTTTTAAAAAATCCTCGTTTTTTGAAATCTTTGAGAAGTAATTTTTAAAAAATCCACGTTTGTTAAATCTTTGAAAAATAATTTTTTAAAAATCCAGGTTTATTAAATCTTTGAAAAATATTTTTTTAAAAATCCAGGTTTATTAAATCTTTGAAAAATAGTTTTTTTAAAAAATCCACGTTTATTAAATCTTTGAAAAATAATTGTTTTAAAAAATCCACGTTTATTGAAATCTTTAAAAAATTATTTTAAAAAAATCAAGGTTTATTAAAATCTTTGAAAATTAATTTTTAAAAAATCCTCGTTTTTTTAAATCATGGAAAAAATATTCATAAAAAATCCATGCTTATTGAAATCTTCCATTGGTGACCTATTTTACAAAAATTTCTAAATTATAAATATTTTTTTTCAAATTTTGAATAAATGTGTTAAAAATATTTGTAATTTGACAGCTGTTAAGCTCTGGCCGGGTGCCTCTATCTTTTATCTGAATCTAGAACAAAAATGCGAATGTAATGAGAAAATACCAAAGACCCATCATAAATTAATTGACAATTATTTATGGCCACTAATCCACTTCTTTTGCTGATAAGCGGAAGGGGCCGGCAGAATATTGGTTATTTTCAAAAACAGACTAAGTCCATTTTGTAAGAAAATGAAAAATACCAAAATTATTTTATTTAACTAAATTTTAAAAATATGAATAAAAAATAGTTCTGGGTCATTCATTGGAAATACAAGGGTCCCATTGATTTATTATCGACTTAGTCTTATTTCGAATATTATTTCTAAAATTCAAAATTTCTATTTTCCCACGTTTTTGGACTTGGGTCATTTCCAAAAAATTCGGGGAATAAATTTTAGTTTATCAAAATCCATTTGCCAAAGCTTATCGGCAACGCACTGGAGATTATAAATCGAAAAGTTGAATTGAAAGTCACGACATTAGACCATAGTTGGTGTTACGGTTAAGAGGGCCAACAACGAAATGAGAGTTCTGCATTTGTTTTGCCTTTTGGCAATTGTTTTTGGCTGTCAGGCTGCCGATTTGAAATGGTGGCAGACAGCCTCGTTCTATCAAATTTATCCCCGGTCCTTTAAGGACAGCGATGGAGATGGTGTGGGAGATCTCAAGGGTAAGTGAAGAGAAAAGAGAGAGAGAGAGAGAGAAGAAGCGAGAAACTAATTTACATTTTTCCTTAAAGGTATTACCGAACAGCTACCCTACCTAAAGGAGATCGGCATCACTGCCACCTGGCTTTCGCCCATCTTCACCTCGCCCATGGCAGATTTTGGTTACGATGTGGCCAATCTAACCGAAATTGATCCCATTTTCGGTACCATGGAAGACTTTGAGGCCTTGATCGAAAAGGCCAAGGCTTTGGGTGTGAAAATTATTTTGGATTTTGTACCCAATCACACGAGTGATGAATGTGAATGGTTTATCAAGTCCGCAGCCAGAGATCCCGAGTATAAGGATTTCTATGTCTGGCATCCGGGTAAAATTGTTAATGGTGTTCGCCAGCCTCCGACCAACTGGATTAGTGTTTTCCGTGGCAGCATGTGGACATGGAATGAGCAGCGTCAGGAATACTATCTGCATCAATTCCATGCCAAGCAACCGGATTTGAATTATCGCAATCCCAAGGTTATGGAAATGATGAAGGTGAGTGGAAAAGGGGAGGAGGTTTTTCGAAATGTAAAAAGACCCACGTCTGTGAGATTTCCCAAAAAAAAAATATTTTTTAAATTATTTTACTTTGAATTTTTTCAAAAATAATTTTTAAGAAATCCACGGCTGTGGGATTTTATAATTTTTTTTTTTAAATCCACGGCTGTGGGGTTTTATAAAAAATATTTTTTTAAAAATCCACGGCTGTGGGACTTTATAAAAAATATTTTTTTTTTAAACCCACGGCTGTGGGATTTTATAAAAAATATTTTTTTAAAAATCCACGGCTGTGGGATTTTCTTAAAAACATTTTTTAAGAGTGAGTTTTCGAGATTTTCTTAAAAACATTTTTAAAAAATCCACGTTTATTGAAATCTTGAAAAATAATTTTTAAAAAATCCACGTTTATTGAAATCTTGAAAAAATATTTTTTAAAAAAATCCACGTTTATTGAAATCTTGAAAAATAATTTTTAAAAAATCCACGTTTATTGAAATCTTGAAAAAATATTTTTTAAAAAAATCCACGTTTATTGATATCTTGAAAAATAATTTTTTAAAATTCACGTTTTTTTTAAATCTTGGAAAAATATTTTTTAAAAAAATCACTTTTTTGAAATCTTAAAAAAATAGGACGTCTTCCGTTTCTGGTTACGTCGTGGCGTCTCCGGTTTCCGTGTCGATGCTGTGCCCCACACCTTCGAAATCAGTCCCGATGCCGATGGCAACTACCCCGATGAGCCCCGTAATCCCAATGTCAATGATCCCGAGGATTATGAATACTTCCAACACATCTATACCACCAATCAGCCGGAAACCATTGACATGGTCTACCAATTGCGTCAAGTCTTGGAGGAGATGGATCAGGAATTGGGTGGTGATGATCGCATCATTATGACCGAAGCCTATGCTCCCTTAGATGTGATTATGCAGTATTATGGCAATGGCACCCACGATGGGGCTCAGATACCCTTCAATTTCCAATTGATTAGCAATTTGAACAAGAATTCCAATGCCTATCACTATAATGAGCTCATCAATATCTGGTTGAAGGCAATGCCCGAGGGCAAGACAGCCAATTGGGTGGTAAGTAGTCATTAAATGAGTCACGAGTCATTAAATTCATAACCTCACTTTCCTCACGCCTTAGCTTGGTAACCATGACCAAAGCAGATTCGGCTCCCGTTTGGGTGAAGACCGCATTGACATCATCAACACCCTATTGCTTACCCTTCCCGGCTGCAGTATCACCTACAATGGTGAGGAAATTGGCATGACCGATGTCTGGATCTCATGGGAGGAAACCGTTGATCCCCAGGCCTGTCAATCGAATCCGGAAAATTATGAACGCCTCACCCGCGATCCCGTACGCACCCCCTTCCATTGGAATGACAACAATTTTGCCGGTTTCACTGATGGCAACTCCACCTGGCTGCCAGTGGCCGATAACTACAAATCGGTCAATGTTAAGAGGGAACGAGGTATCACCTATAGCCATTTGAATGTCTACAAGCAGTTGCAAAATCTACGTCGAGAACCCACCTTCCAAGGGGGTGCAAGTGAGGTCAAGGCCTTGAGTGAGAATACCTTGGCCATCAAGCGGTAGGTCCACGGAGATTTTAATAAAAAAAAAAAAACATTTTTTAATGTTCCTTAATTTTCTTCAGTTCCCTGGCCGGTTACCCCACCTATGTGGTCCTCCTGAACATCAATGACAGCGTTGAGTCCCTGAACTTGAACAGTGCTTTCTATGGCCTTAGCAGCTCTTTGGAATATGTGGTGGTCACCGATCGCAGTCCTAGACGCAAGGGGTAGGCAATTTGGAATTTATAGAAAATTTGAAAGAGGTATTGATTTTTTTATTTTTCTTTCTGCAGAGATTTGGCCCACACCGATTCCATAACCCTGATGCCCAAGGAAGCCGTTGTTCTAAAGACTGTTTAAAATCGTTCTTTTGTAAAATATGAAAATTTGTAAATAAAATAATAATTTGAATTTTAATTTCTTTCTGTGCAACATTCTTTAAAGAAAGGGGAATTCCTGGCGTTGAAATACGTGAAATTTGAAATTTTGGAAAAATAATTTTTAAAAAATCCACCACTATTGAAATTTTGGAAAAATAATTTTTAAAAAATCCACCACTATTGAAATTTTGGAAAAATAATTTTTAAAAAATCCACGTTTATTGAAATCTTTGAAAAATAATTTTTAAAAAATCCACGTTTATTGAAATCTTTGAAAAATAATTTTTAAAAAATCCACGTTTATTGAAATCTTTGAAAAATAATTTTTAAAAAATCCACGTTTATTGAAATCTTTGAAAATAATTTTTAAAAAATCCACGTTTATTGAAATTTTGGAAAAATAATTTTTAAAAAATCCACGTTTATTGAAATTTTGGAAAAATAATTTTTAAAAAATCGACGTTTATTGAAATCTTTGAAAAATAATTTTTAAAAAATCCACGTTTATTGAAATCTTTGAAAAATAATTTTTAAAAAATCCACGTTTATTGAAATCTTTGAAAAATAATTTTTAAAAAATCCACGTTTATTGAAATCTTTGAAAAATAATTTTTAAAAAATCCACGTTTATTGAAATCTTTGAAAAATAATTTTTAAAAAATCCACGTTTATTGAAATCTTTGAAAAATAATTTTTAAAAAATCCACGTTTATTGAAATCTTTGAAAAATAATTTTTAAAAAATCCACGTTTATTGAAATCTTTGAAAAATAATTTTTAAAAAATCCACGTTTATTGAAATCTTTGAAAAATAATTTTTAAAAAATCCACGTTTATTGAAATCTTTGAAAAATAATTTTTAAAAAATCCACGTTTATTGAAATCTTTGAAAAATAATTTTTAAAAAATCCACGTTTATTGAAATCTTTGAAAAATAATTTTTAAAAAATCCACGTTTATTGAAATCTTTGAAAAATAATTTTTAAAAAATCCACGTTTATTGAAATCTTTGAAAAATAATTTTTAAAAAATCCACGTTTATTGAAATCTTTGAAAAATAATTTTTAAAAAATCCACGTTTATTGAAATCTTTGAAAAATAATTTTTAAAAAATCCACGTTTATTGAAATCTTTGAAAAATAATTTTTAAAAAATCCACGTTTATTGAAATCTTTGAAAAATAATTTTTAAAAAATCCACGTTTATTGAAATCTTTGAAAAATAATTTTTAAAAAATCCACGTTTATTGAAATCTTTGAAAAATAATTTTTAAAAAATCCACGTTTATTGAAATCTTTGAAAAATAATTTTTAAAAAATCCACGTTTATTGAAATCTTTGAAAAATAATTTTTAAAAAATCCACGTTTATTGAAATCTTTGAAAAATAATTTTTAAAAAATCCACGTTTGTTGGATTGTTCAAAAAATATTTTTTCAAAAACCCACGTCTACTGAAATCTTGGAAAAATAATTTTTAAAAAAATCCACGTTTATTGAAATCTTGAAAAATTATTTTTAAAAAATCCACGTTTACTGAAATCTTGGAAAAATAATTTTAAAAAAATCCACGTTTATTGAAATTTTGGAAAAATATTTTTTACAAAAATCACGTTTTTTGAAATCTTAAAAATATTTTTTAGGACGTCTTCCGTTTCTGGTTGCGTCGTGGCGTCTCCGGTTTCCGTGTCGATGCTGTGCCCCACACCTTCGAAATCAGTCCCGATGCCGATGGCAACTACCCTGACGAGCCACGCAATCCCAATGTCAATGATCCCGAGGATTATGAATACTTCCAACACATCTATACCACCAATCAGCCGGAAACCATTGACATGGTCTACCAATTGCGTCAAGTCTTGGAGGAAATGGATCAGGAATTGGGTGGTGATGATCGCATCATTATGACCGAAGCCTATGCTCCCTTAGATGTGATTATGCAGTATTATGGCAATGGTACCCACAATGGGGCTCAGATACCCTTCAATTTCCAATTGATTAGCAATTTGAACAAGAATTCCAATGCCTATCACTATGACGAGCTCATCAATATCTGGCTGAAGGCAATGCCCGAGGGCAAGACCGCCAATTGGGTGGTAAGTAGTCATTAAATGAATCACGAGTCATTAAATTCATAACCTCACTTTCCTTTCCCCTTAGCTTGGCAACCATGACCAAAGCAGATTCGGCTCCCGTTTGGGCGAAGACCGCATTGACATCATCAACACCCTGCTCCTCACACTTCCCGGCTGCAGTATCACCTACAATGGTGAGGAAATTGGCATGACCGATGTCTGGATCTCATGGGAGGAAACCGTTGATCCCCAGGCCTGTCAATCGAATCCGGAAAATTATGAACGCCTGACCCGCGATCCCGTGCGTACCCCCTTCCATTGGAGTGACAACAATTTTGCCGGTTTCACTGATGGCAACTCCACTTGGCTTCCGGTGGCCGATAATTACAAATCGGTCAATGTTAAGCGTGAACGAGGCATCACATACAGCCATTTGAATGTCTACAAACAGTTGCAAAATTTGCGTCGAGAACCCACCTTCCAGGGTGGTGCAAGTGAGGTCAAGGCCTTGAGTGAGAATACCTTGGCCATTAAGCGGTAGGTCCACAGAGATTTTAATAAAAAAAAAAACCTTTTTTAATGTTCCTTAATTTTCTTCAGTTCCCTGGCCGGTTACCCCACCTATGTGGTCCTCCTGAACATCAATGACAGTGTGGAGTCCCTGAACTTGAACAGTGCCTTCTTTGGCCTTAGTAGCTCTTTGGAATATGTGGTGGTCACCGATCGTAGTCCTAGACGCAAGGGGTAGGCAATTTGGAATTTATAGGAAATTTGAAAGAGGTATTGATTTTTTATTTTTCTTTCTGCAGAGATTTGGCCCACACCGATTCCATAACCCTGATGCCCAAGGAAGCCGTTGTTCTAAAGACTGTTTAAAATCGTTCTTTTGTAAAATATGAAAATTTGTAAATAAAATAATAATTTGAATTTTAATTTCTTTCTGTGCAACATTCTTTAAAGAAAGGGGAATTCCTGGGGTTGAAATACGTGAAATTTGAAATTTTGGAAAAATAATTTTTAAAAAATCCACGTTTATAGAAATTTTGGAAAAATCATTTTTAAAAAATCCACGATTATTGAAATCTTTGAAAAATAATTTTTAAAAAATCCACGATTATTGAAATCTTTGAAAAATAATTTTTAAAAAATCCACGATTATTGAAATCTTTGAAAAATAATTTTTAAAAAATCCACGATTATTGAAATCTTTGAAAAATAATTTTTAAAAAATCCACGATTATTGAAATCTTTGAAAAATAATTTTTAAAAAATCCACGATTATTGAAATCTTTGAAAAATAATTTTTAAAAAATCCACGTTTATGAAATCTTTGAAAAATAATTTTTAAAAAATCCACGTTTATTGAAATCTTTGAAAAATAATTTTTAAAAAATCCACGTTTATGAAATCTTTGAAAAATAATTTTTAAAAAATCCACGTTTATTGAAATCTTTGAAAAATAATTTTTAAAAAATCCACGTTTATGAAATCTTTGAAAAATAATTTTTAAAAAATCCACGATTATTGAAATCTTTGAAAAATAATTTTTAAAAAATCCACGATTATTGAAATCTTTGAAAAATAATTTTTAAAAAATCCACGATTATTGAAATCTTTGAAAAATAATTTTTAAAAAATCCACGATTATTGAAATCTTTGAAAAATAATTTTTAAAAAAATCCACGATTATTGAAATCTTTGAAAAATAATTTTTAAAAAATCCACGATTATTGAAATCTTTGAAAAATAATTTTTAAAAAATCCACGATTATTGAAATCTTTGAAAAATAATTTTTAAAAAATCCACGATTATTGAAATCTTTGAAAATAATTTTTAAAAAATCCACGATTATTGAAATCTTTGAAAAATAATTTTTAAAAAATCCACGATTATTGAAATCTTTGAAAAATAATTTTTAAAAAATCCACGATTATTGAAATCTTTGAAAAATAATTTTTAAAAAATCCACGATTATTGAAATCTTTGAAAAATAATTTTTAAAAAATCCACGATTATTGAAATCTTTGAAAAATAATTTTTAAAAAATCCACGATTATTGAAATCTTTGAAAAATAATTTTTAAAAAATCCACGATTATTGAAATCTTTGAAAAATAATTTTTAAAAAATCCACGATTATTGAAATCTTTGAAAAATAATTTTTAAAAAATCCACGATTATTGAAATCTTTGAAAAATAATTTTTAAAAAATCCACGATTATTGAAATCTTTGAAAATAATTTTTAAAAATCCACGATTATTGAAATCTTTGAAAAATAATTTTTAAAAAATCCACGATTATTGAAATCTTTGAAAATAATTTTTAAAAATCCACGATTATTGAAATCTTTGAAAACTAATTTTTAAAAAATCCACGATTATTGAAATCTTTGAAAAATAATTTTTAAAAAATCCACGATTATTGAAATCTTTGAAAAATAATTTTTAAAAAATCCACGATTATTGAAATCTTTGAAAAATAATTTTTAAAAAATCCACGATTATTGAAATCTTTGAAAAATAATTTTTAAAAAATCCACGATTATTGAAATCTTTGAAAAATAATTTTTAAAAAATCCACGATTATTGAAATCTTTGAAAAATAATTTTTAAAAAATCCACGTTTATGAAATCTTTGAAAAATAATTTTTAAAAAATCCACGTTTATTGAAATCTTTGAAAAATAATTTTTAAAAAATCCACGTTTAGAAATCTTTGAAAAATAATTTTTAAAAAATCCACGTTTATTGAAATCTTTGAAAAATAATTTTTAAAAAATCCACGTCTATTGAAATTTTGGAAAAATAATTTTTAAAAATCCACGTCTATTGAAATTTTGGAAAAATAATTTTTAAAAAATCCACGTCTATTGAAATTTTGGAAAAATAATTTTTAAAAAATCCACGTCTATTGAAATTTTGGAAAAATAATTTTTAAAAAATCCACGTCTATTGAAATTTTGGAAAAATAATTTTTAAAAAATCCACGTCTATTGAAATTTTGGAAAAATAATTTTTAAAAAATCCACGTCTATTGAAATTTTGGAAAAATAATTTTTAAAAAATCCACGTCTATTGAAATTTTGGAAAAATAATTTTTAAAAAATCCACGTCTATTGAAATTTTGGAAAAATAATTTTTAAAAAATCCACGTCTATTGAAATCTTGTATGGTGTGCTGAAACATAAAAATACAGTCCAAAGTGAACTCAGAAACTTTTCCCATAACGTATTTTTTTTATTCTGTTTTTTTTTTTTTTTAATTTGTTCTTTAATGGGTTAAAATATATTGCAATTTGAATAAAAATGGCGCCCAACGTCATAAAATGTCAACATTTTTCTACCTTTAAATTAAGGTGTCTGGGGTGACCAACTTGGATTTAAAGTTTGCTGCATAAGATATATAGTCAAAATATAATCGGAGAAGTGTATGTGCCTAACATGAACTTGAAACATAGCCTCAAACAAATTCCTAATATTATTAATAATATTTAATATATTTAATATTTTATACTTTTTATTTTTTTATTATTTTTATTTTATTTTCTCTTCATTATTTTTATTTTATTTATTTAGTTTTTTATTCATATTATATTTTTATTTTATTCATATTTTTTCTTTTATATTTTGATTTATTTACTAATTTATATTTAATATTAATTAATATATTTTAGAAATATCCATATTTAAAAAAAAATCATTGGGATTTTTAATATTTTGAAGATCCATGAAATATTGAAAATCCATCTGACCCACCCTTGTGCATTTGCTAAAACTTCCATGCAGGAAAATAGGCGCATTTTGATATAAATGTGTTATTTATTTTTTATTTGTTATATTACCACTCTTGAGAGCTCTTGACATGCTATCATTTTAAATGAAAAAAAAAGAAAAACAACAATAAAAAACAAATATTTATGCATTATCGCTCCGTTTGTGTGTAGATAATTGATTTATATTCGTTATCGTTCCAACCAGCGCAAGACCACAGCTTCGTAGGGCATTAAATACAAGCGGCCAAGCAAATTCGCCTTATCGCTGCAAAGAAAAAAAAAAACAAACTGTCACTACAAAATTATTCAGAATTCCTCTTCACATCAAACCTACCCAACATTGTGTGGCGAATGGGGACTCAATAAAACATATTCATAGGTGAGCGAGCTCAAATTCTCCACATGTTCCATTTTATTACCCATATTTATCAAAATCATATATTCTTCGCGGCCCGGTGAAGAGCGTATGATTTGCAAAACTTGTTCGGACAAGGCCTTGTAGGAAAAACCACCGGCCGACTTGAAATTGCGAAAAGCCGCCGTATATTTAAGTTGCTGTAGGCCCTTGAAAATATTCAGGGTGCTACGGGCCACCATACGTTCCGTTTGGACATTATAGGTTTCAAAGTCCTCGGCAATGGGCAGCCATGTGCTCGGACCATTTGTAAAGCCAACATTGGGCAGGGGTTCCCATTGCATGGGTGTGCGCTCAGGATCACGATCGTCACAGGACACAGCCGTACATTGGGTGGCCACATTGGACATACCAATTTCCTCACCATAATAGGTGACCGAGGCCCCTGGCAGACAATTGACAATAATATTCAGTAAATCCACCTTGTGGCGACCCATACGATTGGCCACACGCCCATTGTCATGATTACCCACCACCCAATTGGCCGCCTGATGTTGTTTCCACATTGTGTCCATCCAATAGTTGGCGGAATTTTCCACATCCTGGGCCGTTGAGAAACCATTCAAATACATCAGATTGAAATTCATGGGTATATGGGCGCCAGAGTGGGTACCATTGCCAAAGTAAAGGCTAAGGGTTTCCACCGAGGAGTAGGCTTCGGCCAAGAGGATTCTGAAAAGAGAAATATAAAATTAGAATTTACCTCAAAATATTATGAGACAAATGGCGCCCAACGTGGGTTTAATGAGTGGCGTAACAAATGCCGTCTATTTTAGATTAAAATATTGACCGACGAGATGCCTAGTCAAAATTACGTCTAAAGAATGCATGCCATTGTTGGCGCCCAACGTGGTTTTTAAAGGTAATCACATAAGATCCACGTTTGTTGATTACTTCAAAAAATATTTTTTAAAAAATCCACGTTTGCTGATTTCTTCAAAAAATATTTTTTTTAAAAAAATCCACGTTTGTTGATTTCTTCAAAAAATATTTTTATTTAAAAAATCTACATTTGTTGATTTCTTAAAAAAACATTTTTTTAAAAAATCCACATACGTTAATTTTTTCAAAAAATATTTTTTAAAAAATCCACGTTTGTTGATTAGTTCAAAAAATATTTTTTAAAAAATCCACGTTTGTTGATTACTTCAAAAAATATTTTTTAAAAAATCCACGTTTGTTGATTACTTCAAAAAATATTTTTTAAAAAATCCACGTTTGTTGATTACTTCAAAAAATATTTTTTAAAAAATCCACGTTTGTTGATTACTTCAAAAAATATTTTTTAAAAAATCCAAGTTTGTTGATTACTTCAAAAAATATTTTTTAAAAAATCCACGTTTGTTGATTACTTCAAAAAATATTTTTTAAAAAATCCACGTTTGTTGATTTCTTCAAAAAATATTTTTTAAAAAATCCACGTTTGTTGATTACTTCAAAAAATATTTTTTAAAAAATCCACGTTTGTTGATTACTTCAAAAAATATTTTTTAAAAAATCCACGTTTGTTGATTACTTCAAAAAATATTTTTTAAAAAATCGACGTTTGTTGATTAGTTCAAAAAATATTTTTCAAAAAATCCACGTTTGTTGATTAGTTCAAAAAATATTTTTTAAAAAATCCACGTTTGCTGATTTCTTCAAAAAATATTTTTTTTAAAAAAATCCACGTTTGTTGATTTCTTCAAAAAATATTTTTATTTAAAAAATCTACATTTGTTGATTTCTTAAAAAAACATTTTTTTAAAAAATCCACATACGTTAATTTTTTCAAAAAATATTTTTAAAAAATCCACGTTTGTTGATTAGTTCAAAAAATATTTTTTAAAAAATCCACGTTTGTTGATTACTTCAAAAAATATTTTTTAAAAAATCCACGTTTGTTGATTACTTCAAAAAATATTTTTTAAAAAATCCACGTTTGTTGATTACTTCAAAAAATATTTTTTAAAAAATCCACGTTTGTTGATTACTTCAAAAAATATTTTTTAAAAAATCCAAGTTTGTTGATTACTTCAAAAAATATGTTTTAAAAAATCCACGTTTGTTGATTACTTCAAAAAATATTTTTTAAAAAATCCACGTTTGTTGATTTCTTCAAAAAATATTTTTTAAAAAATCCACGTTTGTTGATTACTTCAAAAAATATTTTTTAAAAAATCCACGTTTGTTGATTACTTCAAAAAATATTTTTTAAAAAATCCACGTTTGTTGATTACTTCAAAAAATATTTTTTAAAAAATCCACGTTTGTTGATTAGTTCAAAAAATATTTTTTAAAAAATCCACGTTTGTTGATTTCTTCAAAAAATATTTTTTAAAAAATCCACGTTTGTTGATTTCTACAAAAAATATTTTTTAAAAAATCCACGTTTGTTGATTTCTACAAAAAATATTTTTTAAAAAATCCACGTTTGTTGATTTCTTCAAAAAATATTTTTTAAAAAATCCACGTTTGTTGATTTCTTCAAAAAATATTTTTTAAAAAATCCACGTTTGTTGATTTCTTCAAAAAATATTTTTTAAAAAATCCACGTTTGTTGATTTCTTCAAAAATATTTTTTAAAAAATCCACGTTTGTTGATTTCTTCAAAAAATATTTTTTTAAAAAATCCACGTTTGTTGATTTCTTCAAAAAATATTTTTTAAAAAATCCACGTTTGTTGATTTCTTCAAAAAATATTTTTTAAAAAATCCACGTTTGTTGATTTCTTCAAAAAATATTTTTTAAAAAATCCACGTTTGTTGATTTCCTCAATAAATATTTTTTAAAAAATCCACGTTTGTTGATTTCTTCAAAAAATATTTTTTAAAAAATCCACGTTTGTTAATTTCTTTAAAAAATATTTTTTAAAAAATCCACGTTTGTTAATTTCTTTAAAAAATATTTTTTAAAAAATCCACGTTTGTTGATTTCTTCAAAAATATTTTTTAAAAAATCCACGTTTGTTGATTTCATCAAAAATATTTTTTAAAAAATCCACGTTTGTTGATTTCTTCAAAAAATATTTTTTAAAAAATCCACGTTTGTTGATTTCATCAAAAAATATTTTTTAAAAAATCCACGTTTGTTGATTTCTTCAAAAAATATTTTTTAAAAAATCCACGTTTGTTGATTTCTTCAAAAAATATTTTTTAAAAAATCCACGTTTGTTGATTTCTTCAAAAAATATTTTTTAAAAAATCCACGTTTGTTGATTTCTTCAAAAAATATTTTTTAAAAAATCCACGTTTGTTGATTTCTTCAAAAATATTTTTTAAAAAATCCACGTTTGTTGATTTCTTCAAAAAATATTTTTAAAAAATCCACGTTTGTTGATTTCTTCAAAAATATTTTTTAAAAAATCCACGTTTGTTGATTTCTTCAAAAAATATTTTTTAAAAAATCCACGTTTGTTGATTTCTTCAAAAAATATTTTTTAAAAAATCCACGTTTGTTGATTTCTTCAAAAAATATTTTTTAAAAAATCCACGTTTGTTGATTTCTTCAAAAAATATTTTTTAAAAAATCCACGTTTGTTGATTTCTTCAAAAAATATTTTTTAAAAAATCCACGTTTGTTGATTTCTTCAAAAAATATTTTTTAAAAAATCCACGTTTGTTGATTTCTTCAAAAAATATTTTTTAAAAAATCCACGTTTGTTGATTTCTTCAAAAAATATTTTTTAAAAAATCCACGTTTGTTGATTTCTTCAAAAAATATTTTTTAAAAAATCCACGTTTGTTGATTTCTTCAAAAAATATTTTTAAAAATCCACGTTTGTTGATTTCTTCAAAAAATATTTTTTAAAAAATCCACGTTTGTTGATTTCTTCAAAAAATATTTTTTAAAAAATCCACGTTTGTTGATTTCTTCAAAAAATATTTTTTAAAAAATCCACGTTTGTTGATTTCTTCAAAAAATATTTTTTAAAAAATCCACGTTTGTTGATTTCTTCAAAAATATTTTTTAAAAATCCACGTTTGTTGATTTCTTCAAAAAATATTTTTTAAAAAATCCACGTTTGTTGATTTCTTCAAAAATATTTTTAAAAAATCCACGTTTGTTGATTTCTTCAAAAAATATTTTTTAAAAAATCCACGTTTGTTGATTTCTTCAAAAAATATTTTTTAAAAAATCCACGTTTGTTGATTTCTTCAAAAAATATTTTTTAAAAAATCCACGTTTGTTGATTTCTTCAAAAAATATTTTTTAAAAAATCCACGTTTGTTGATTTCTTCAAAAAATATTTTTAAAAAATCCACGTTTGTTGATTTCTTCAAAAAATATTTTTTAAAAAATCCACGTTTGTTGATTTCTTCAAAAAATATTTTTTAAAAAATCCACGTTTGTTGATTTCTTCAAAAATATTTTTTAAAAAATCCACGTTTGTTGATTTCTTCAAAAAATATTTTTTAAAAAATCCACGTTTGTTGATTTCTTCAAAAAATATTTTTTAAAAAATCCACGTTTGTTGATTTCTTCAAAAAATATTTTTTAAAAAATCCACGTTTGTTGATTTCTTCAAAAATATTTTTTAAAAAATCCACGTTTGTTGATTTCTTCAAAAATATTTTTTAAAAAATCCACGTTTGTTGATTTCTTCAAAAAATATTTTTTAAAAAATCCACGTTTGTTGATTTCTTCAAAAAATATTTTTTAAAAATCCACGTTTGTTGATTTCTTCAAAAAATATTTTTTAAAAAATCCACGTTTGTTGATTTCTTCAAAAAATATTTTTTAAAAAATCCACGTTTGTTGATTTCTTCAAAAAATATTTTTTAAAAAATCCACGTTTGTTGATTTCTTCAAAAAATATTTTTTAAAAAATCCACGTTTGTTGATTTCTTCAAAAAATATTTTTTAAAAAATCCACGTTTGTTGATTTCTTCAAAAAATATTTTTTAAAAAATCCACGTTTGTTGATTTCTTCAAAAAATATTTTTTAAAAAATCCACGTTTGTTGATTTCTTCAAAAAATATTTTTAAAAAATCCACGTTTGTTGATTTCTTCAAAAAATATTTTTTAAAAAATCCACGTTTGTTGATTTCTTCAAAAATATTTTTTAAAAAATCCACGTTTGTTGATTTCTTCAAAAAATATTTTTTAAAAAATCCACGTTTGTTGATTTCTTCAAAAAATATTTTTTAAAAAATCCACGTTTGTTGATTTCTTCAAAAAATATTTTTTAAAAAATCCACGTTTGCTGGTTACTTCAAAATTTTTTTTTTTTAAAAAATCCACGTTTGTTGATTTGTTTAAAAAATATTTTTTAAAAATCCACGTTTGTTGATTTGTTTAAAAACCTAAGTTCTTTTCTTCAAAAATATTTAATTTCCTCTTTTTAACCTCACCTTGTATCTCCCCCATTCTTCGCCCGATATGAGTCCAAAAATTCCCTCCATTCGTACAGCAATTCCACGGTGGGATATTGATCCTTGGTATAGATGTGATCATGATAATCATAACTATTTGGGTCAGAGGACCCACCAGACACGGGTTCATCGGGGAAGGAGCCATCATCGTTGCGCTTCTCAAAGATGTGGGGCACGGCATCAATGCGGAAACCATCAACGCCACGATCAAGCCAATATTTCAAAACATCCAACATATGCTGGCGTACCAGGGGATTGGAGAAATTCAAGTCAGGTTGTTTGTCCTGGAACTGATGCAGATAGAATTGTTGGCGCTCGGCGTTCCAGGTCCATTGGGAGCCACCAAAGACAGAGACCTTAAAAAATTGGAGATTTTTTAATTAATTTTGATTTGAGGGGCAAAAGAGGAAATTGTGTTCTTACCCAATTGCTTGGCGGCAATCTTTTTGTATTATCCTGAGGATCGACCTTGCCATCATCCCACACATAGAAATCCTCAAAACCCTTCTCCCTTTTTATGGATTTCTTGAACCATTCACATTCATCACTCGAGTGATTGGGCACAAAATCCAAAATAATTTTCACACCCAGTTGCTTGGCCTTGGCAATCATGGCATCGAAATCTTCCAGGGTACCAAAAATCGGATCAATGCGGGTAAAATTGGATATGTCATAACCAAAGTCGGACATGGGCGATTCAAAGACTGGCGACAGCCATGTGGCAGTAATGCCAATTTCCTTCAAATATTCCAGGCGCGAGGTAATACCCTTCAAATCGCCCACACCATCACCATCGCTGTCCTGAAAGGAACGAGGATAGATTTGATAAAGCGAGGCATTTTCCCACCAATCCACTTGGGCAGCTGTGGCGCCCAACACCAGTAGGGCTAGCAGCGTCAGACCGGCTACTCTGGACTTCATTGTAATGTCAACTAACGACTGATTCAAATCAAATGAAATCGATTCGAATCAGACTGAAATGCTTTATCGGATTTTATGTCATGAATTTGATTACTATTTTAATTGGCAGCGATGATAAGCGGGTTGTGATAGCCCAGAATTATGCCAAAGAGAGTGTAATCTTTATTGGAAGCCAATGAAAATAACCGGTAATGGATATTTTCAATACTATTATTTTTTTATGAAGATAACAAACATGTTCGGTTTGTGATATACACTGATAAAAAAATCAAAAAAAAAAAAAAAAAAAAAAGATTTGGAAACCTCTAATCGTAAAAATTTTTTCAGCAGGTGGAAACTTTTTATTTTTTAAAATACTTGCTCATCGAACAGGCAGCAACCTTCTTCAAAATAAAATAATAAAACTTTCGTGTACCAAATGGCGCCCAATGTGAAATTAGAAAAAAAAAACTAATCTGTTAAATTTTCATTCAAAAAATATTTTTAAAAAAATCCACGTTTGTTGATAACTTCAAAAAATATATTTTTTTAAAAATCCACGTTTGTTGATTACTTAAAAAAAATATATTTTTTGAAAAATCCACGTTTGTTGATTACTTAAAAAAATATTTTTTAAAAAATCCACGTCTGTTGATTACTTAAAAAAATATTTTTTTAAAAAATCCGTGTTTGTTGATTACTTAAAAAACTATTTTTTTAGAAAATCCACGTTTGTTGATTACTTAAAAAAATATTTTTTTTAGAAAATCCACGTTTGTTGATTACTTAAAAAAATATTTTTTAAAAAATCCACGTTTGTTGATTACTCCAAAAAATATTTTTTTAAAAATCCACGTTTGTTGATAACTTCAAAAAATATATATTTTTTTTAAAAAATCCACGTTTGTTGATAACTTCAAAAAATATATATTTTTTTAAAATCCACGTTTGTTGATTACTTAAAAAAATATTTTTTAAAAAATCCACGTTTGTTGATAACTTCAAAAAATATATATTTTTTTAAAAAATCCACGTTTGTTGATAACTTCAAAAAAAATATATTTTTTTAAAATCCACGTTTGTTGATTACTTAAAAAAATATTTTTTAAAAAATCCACGTTTGTTGGATACTTCAAAAAATATTTTTTAAAAAATTCACGTTAAGGAAATAGTTTTTTTTTTTCAAAATCCTAAAAATTTATTCTGAAAATTGATGTCCAAGGTGGATTCAAAACTAATTTGTTAAATTTTCATGTAGCAAATGGCGCCCAACGTGGGATTATGAACTATATGAAGCTTGCCCTCTTAGATGTGATGAGTGGCGCCCAAGCTGGGCTATATTTTTCCACATAAGAAGTAAAGTTAAAATGTATCTAAAAAAGTAATCGGCTAATGGCGACCAACATGTATTGAGAACATTTGAATAATTTTTTTTTATTTTTTTTTTAGGTAAAAGAAGAATAAATTAAATGGCGCCCAACGTCATCATAAAATTAGCAAAAAGTCAAAATGTTGCCCCAAAACACATCTGCCTAATTTTCGAGAAATTTATTTTAATAAGTTGCGCTAAAAAAATAAATAAAAGACCATCAGGAGAAGATTAGGAAACCTCTAATCGTAAAATTTTATCACCATGAGGAAATTATTATTGTTTTTCAAAATCCCAAACATTGACTCATTGAATGGCCAGTAACCTCCTTAACATTTGTTTTGAAAATTGTTGACAAATATTTACTCCCAGCCACTCCAGTTGCATTGAAATTATTGTATTTTATATAAGTTAAATATTTACCCTTATTGTAAAATGCAAAACATTGAAATCATTCATTTGATGGCTGGCGATCACCAGGTAAGCCCATGACAAATATTTGCCGTGTTCAATGGACAATGTATTTTCAATTGTGATGTACGTTATTTTGTTTATTTGCTCTGCTTCTAAATAATATTGAAGCAGGTGTTTTATCAGATCTTGACAACAATTCTGGAATTTAAAAAAAATGAAATCAAATATCAAAACATCTCCACAGGATTGGGGATTTTTTGGAAATATTTTCCATATGAAAGCGATTTTTTTAATATTTTAATTTTTCAAACTGTGTCAAAAAAAAAAAAAAAAATCAAATATACTATGATTTTTTGTTAATGTTTTTTTTTTAATTTTTTTCTTCAATTTATGTAATCTATTTTTGAATATTTTCAATCAATGTAAATTTGGAAAAAAATCTATCACATAACTAGAATGTTTTTTTAATTAATTTGTTTAAATATTGTTTTCAAACAAATATATTTTTTTAATATTTTATTTAAACTCTTGCAATTAATAAAAATTTTAAAATTTTTATTCAAAAAAATAGGATTTTTTCAAAAATATTTTTTATTTTAAATTAATCTTAAGATAAGAAGCCGTAAAAAATCAATCACATAACTAGGATGTTTCTTAATTAATTTGTTAAAATATTATTTTCAAACAATATATTTTTTTTTTAATTTTTTTAAACTTTTGCAATTAATGAAAATTTTAAAGTTTTTTATTCAAAAAAAAAAAAAAAAATATTTTTTTTAAATAATGTTAAGATAAGAAGTCGTAATTTAAAATTTCAGGTTCTTCCTTTTGTGGGACCCTTAAAAATAAAATACTTCATTAAATAAAAAAAAAATAAAATTTTGTGTCTGCACAAAATACAAATAGAGCAAAATTTATTTAACAAATAAACATATTTTTAATACATATATATTTTTTTCGTAACAATATTTAAATCAAGCGCAAAACATAGCCGACATAGGCCTTGGCCACAAAGTTTTCGCTGTCGACAACTTGTCTATAGAAGAAATTTGAAAAAATTAAAAGTTTCAAAAAATCGAATTCAAATATAGCCACCATAAACTTACCCTGGTTCAATGCCGGATTGCAAAGAGCTAACGGAGACCTCAACCTGTTGGCCAACCTTTTTGGCATATTGGCCCAAATTCAATGGCACATCGACATCACCGATGTTCAGGACCACCAAGAAGGAGTCGCCGTTGCCGGAGGGGGGATTTCTGGAAGAGAGAAAATATATATTTTAAGAAATATAATGTTTTTTTATGAACCAAAAAAACTGATGATATTTTTTCATGGTAAAAAGTGAATATACAAATTTCTTTTGTTCAGAGACTCACAATGAAATTCGATCTAGAATAATTCTACCTTTAATACTTTGCCCAAAAAATGAAGTTTAAATTGAGATTTTGACACGAACTGACATAAGTACTTAAAAAAACAAAAATATACTTTTCACTTGTGATATATGAAGTTCGAATGTAATTTTCTTAAAAACTGTGAATCCTAGATATGTGGTTATTTCCGAGATTTATAGTAAAATTTGGTGTAGAATATTTCTCCCTTTAACTTATTTCGTCTAAAGCGAAATTTTATGGTACTTTTAGGGTTCCTCTCGAAAAAAGTCTGAAGAAAAACTGATCAAAAATTTAATAAACAATATTTTTTTTATAAATACATATTGATGATATTTTTTTAGGGTTCCTATTAAATATACAAATTTCCGTTGTTCAGAGACTCAGAATGAAATTGGTTCTAGAATAATTCTTTCTTTAACACTTTTTTCAAAAAAATGAAGTGCAAATGTTCATTTTGACTTGGATTGAAAACGTGTTGAATAAATACTTAAAAAAGCAAAAAACATATTTTTCACTCGTGGTATATGAATTTCGAATATAATTTTCTTAAAAACGATTGTACCTAGATGAATGGTTAATTCTGAGACTTATATTGAAATTTAGTGTAGAATATTTCTTCTCTTGACATATTTCACCTAAAACGAAATTTGATGTTACTTTTAGGGGTCCTCTCGAAAAAAGTCCAAGAAAAAAATTGATTAAAAAATTAAAAAAAGCAAGGTTTGTTTATCAAGTCTAATTGATGATATTTTTTGAGGGTACCTATTAAATATACAAATTTCTTTTGTTCAGAAACCTACAATGAAATTTGATCTAGAATAATTCTACCTTTAACACTTTGCCCAAAAAATGAAGTTTGAATTGAGATTTTGACACGAACTGACAACGTGTTTAATAAGCACTTAAAAAAACAAAAACCTATTTTTCACTTGTGATATATGAAGTTCGAATGTAATTTTCTTAAAAACTGTGAATCCTAGATATGTGGTTATTTCTGAGATTTATAGACAAATTTGGTGTAGAATATTTCTCCCTTTAACTTATTTCGTCTAAAGCGAAATTTTATGGTACTTTTAGGGTTCCTCTCAAAAACAGTCTGAGGAAAAACTGATCAAAAATTTAATAAACAATGTTTATTTATAAATACATATTGATGGTATATTTTCAGGGTTCCTATTAAATATACAAATTTCTCTTGTTCGGAGACTCACAATGAAATTTGATCTAGAATAATTCTTCCTTTGACACTTTGCCCAAAAAATGAAGTTTGAATTGAGATTTTGACACGAACTGAAAATGCGTTTAATTAGCACTTAAAAAAGCAAACTATAATTTTCACTTGTGATATATGAATTTCGAGTATAATTTTCTTAAAAACTATTCTTCGTAGATATATAGCGTATTCTGAAATTTATAATGAAATTTTGTATAGAATATTTCTTCTCTTGACATATTTCGTCTAAAACGAAAATTTATGTTACTTTCAGGCACTAACTCAAAAAAGTCCAAGAAAAAATTGATTAAAAAATTTAATAAACAAGCTTTGTTTATCAATACTACTATACTAATTGATGATACTTTTTCAGGGTTCCTATTTAATATACAAATTTCTTTTGTTCGGAGACTCAGAATGAAATTCGATCTAGAATAATTCTACCTTTAACACTTTGCCCAAAAAATGAAGTTTGAATTGAGATTTTGACACGAACTGACAACGTGTTTAATAAGTACTTAAAAAAACAAAAACATACTTTTCACTTGTGATATATGAAGTTCGAATGTAATTTTCTTAAAAACTGTGAATCCTAGATATGTGGTTGTTTCTGAGATTTATAGTGAAATTTGGTGTAGAATATTTCTCCCTTTAACTTATTTCGCCTAAATCGAAATTTTATGGTACCTTTGGGTGTCCTCTCGAAAAAAGTCTGAGGAAAAGTGATCAAAAAATTTAATGAACAAGGTTTTTTTTATAAATACATATTGACGGTATATTTTCAGGGTTCCTATTAAATATACAAATTTCCGTTGTTCAGAGACTCCGAACGAAATTCGATCTTGAGTAATTCTTCCTTTGGCACTTACCCCAAAAAATTAATTTTAAATGGAGATTTGGACTCGAACTAAAAACGTGTTTAATAAACACTTAAAAAAAAAGACATAATTTTCACTTGTGGTATACGAATTTCGAATGTAATTTTCTTAAAGACATTTGTACCTAGATGTATGGTTTAATCTAAGACTTATATTAAAATTTAGTGTAGAATATTTCTTCTCTTGACATATTTCGCCTAAAACGAAATTTTATGTTACCTTCAGGCGTCAACTCGAAATAATCACCAGAAAAAATGTATTAAAAAATAAGAGAGTATTATCGGCCTTGTTTTGGAAACATTGATGCAATTATTATTTTTTTTTTGTATTAAACAATGGAAGTAGAGATTTCTTTTCTTTGGTAACCTATAGTGCAATTTGATGAAGAATATTTTTGTCCTTGACGTCATTCTTCTAAAATGATGCTTTGTTGGAGATTTTGGCACAAACTCACACAAAGTACTGCTTTCACACCAAAATGTATTTTTTTACCAAATATTTGAATTCCTTAATAGAATAAAATTTTCCTGAAAAATTATTGAACCTAGATGTATGGTTAATTCCGAATCTTATAGTGAAATTTGATGTAGAATATTTCCCCTTTTAACACCATCTGCATAAAATGAAATTTTATGTTACTTTCCAGCTTCAATTTGAAAAAAGACGAGGGAAAAATGATGAAAAAAATTGGAAAAAAAATTTTGTGCGATTTTCGGCAACATTGATGGAAATATTTTTTTGATATGCAGTCAAAATAGAGATTTCTTTTCCGCGGTGACTTACAGTGAAATTTGATGAGGAATATTTTTGTCTTCAATGACATCCTTATAAAATACTGATTTGTTGGAGATTTTGGCACAAACTCACAAAAAGTACACCTTTAACCCCAAAATTGGTATTTTTTACCAAATATATGAATTCCTTAATAGAATAACATTTTCCTGAAAAATTATTGAACCTAGATATATAGTTTATTCCGAAGCTCATAGTGAAATTTGGTTTAGAATATTTCTTCTCTTAACACCATCTGCATAAAATGAAGTTTTATGTTACTTTCCAGCTTCAATTTGAAGAAGGGCGGGGGAAAAATGATGAAAAAAATTGGAAATATTTTTTGTGCGTTTTTCGCCACATTGATGGAAATATTTTTTTGATATACAGCGAAAATAGAGATTTCTTTTCCTTTGTGACTTATAGTGAAATTTGATGAGGAATATTTTTGTCTTCGATGTCATTCTTCTAAAATGATGCTTTGTTGGAGATATTTGCACAAACTCGCACAAAGTACAGCTTTAACACCAAAATGTTTTTTTTTTTTACCAAATATATGAATTCCATAATAGAATACAATTTTCCTGAAAAACTGTTGAACCTAGATGTATGGTTTATTCTGAAACTTATAGTGAAATTTGGTGTAGAATATTTCCCCTTTTAACACCATCTGCCTAGAATGAAATTTTATGTTACCTTCCAGCTTCAATTTGAAAAAAAACGAGGGAAAATGATGAAAAAAAATTGGAAAAAATTTTTGTGCGATTTTGGCAACATTGATGGAAAATTTTTTTTTGATAGAGAGTGAAAACAGATATTTCTTTTCTTTGGTAACCTATAGTGAAATTTGATGAAGAATATTTTTGTCCTTGACGTCATTCTTCTAAAATGCTGCTTTGTTGGAGATTTTTGCACAAGCTCACAAAAAGTACACCTTTAACCCCAAAATTTATTTTCTTTACCAAATATATGAATTCCTTAACAGAATACAATTTTCCTGAAAAACTATTGAACCTAGATGTATGGTTTATTCCGAAACTTCTAGTGAAATTCGGTGTAGAATATTCCTCCTTTAAACACCATCTACCTAGAATGAAATTTTATGTTACTTTTAGGCGTCAACTCAAAAAAGTCCGAGGAAAAATTTATGAAAAAAAATTAGGGAGTATTTTCGGATTTTTTTTTTTGGGAGATATTTTTTTGCTAATCAATGGAAATAGAAATTTGTTTCATCTGGTGACTTACAGTGACATTTGATGAGGAAGAATTTTCTCTTTGACATCATCTATCTAAAATGCTGCTTTGTTGGAGATTTTTGCACAAACTCACAAAAAGTACTGTTTTAACCCTAAAATGTGTTTTTAATGAAATTGATTTCCTGGCCTTTAGGTAAGTTGTAGACTTTTGATGTCTTCTAGGACCCTTAATAGAATTTTATGACAAATAATTTTGTAGGATATTTTGACCTGCTACGATCCCGCTTAAAGGGAGATTTTAATCATATTTCCGAAAAAGGACCCAAAAGACCCATTTGTTGGCTCGCTTGAGGGTTAAAATTTCCCAAAAAAATATTTCTCGTGTCTGTATCTGCAATATTGCCAAAGACACCTTATACCTGGAATGTAAGAAATCCAAGGAATCTTAATTTGAAAATTTCCGACAATGTGGAAGAGGGTTGAACCCCCTCTATTGAGGTTGCTTGGCAATGTAACCTTTCAAAAATGCCTTCTATTTTTAGATCTACTTTCATAACCTGCTGGATTTTTTCCATAATTATTGAAAAAATGAATTTTTACACAATTCTGTCCCCCTTTTTCCCCACCACTTACCTCTCATACAGCAAAACATTATCCACAACGACGGGATCCACACTTTTACCACTGAAGGCAGGCTCCTCACGCCTCAACTTATTGACTGCCAAAAAGATTTTCAAATGACTGTTATCGGCCGCCAACTGGGCCTGGACATTGTTGTTTTCATAGCCCTCTCCCACCGGCAGCCATGTCTTGGCTGCCTTGCTAAAACCAGCATTGGCTGTGGCATCCCAACGGAATGGGGCGCGCACTGGATCACGGGTGTATTTTTGATAGGTCTCAGGATCGGCATTACAGCCCTGGGGATCGACAGTATCCTCCCAGGAGAACTCTACATCCTCGGCTCCATATTCATCGCCCTGGAGGCGGGAAGAGGAAGAAAGGGGAAAATCATATAATTGATGGGAGCAATTTTTTTTTTTTTTTTTTGAGAATTTAAAAAAAATGAATTTTTTTCTTTAAAGGATCCGAAACCCTTAGGACTTCCTTAAGATATTTTCTTAAAAATAAGATCCTTCAAAGACGGAATTTAAGGGAGGAGGAGGAGATTTTCAAAAAAAGTTTAAAAGGACCTTCATTAAATCCTAAACATACAAGTGGTCTGGGGAAATGAGGACCAGTTTTGGTATAAAATCCAAAAAATCAAATCTCAAAAAAATAACAACAAAAAAATATTTTTAAGGACCTTTAAAAATAGGATCCTAAAAAAAATCCGAAGGACATATTTTTTAAATTTCTTTAAATCTGATTTTTTTGGAAATATTTTCTGAGGAGATTTTCAAAAAAATCCTCAAAAAATCGCAGCCTAAAAAATGACAAAAAATTTTTTTCAAGGGCCTTTAAAAATAGGATCCTTAAAAAACTGAAATTAATTTTTCCAAGGATCTCCATATTTTTTTTTTTTTTTTTTTTGGGTTCTGGAGAATTTTTTACTCACATTATAGGTCACCGAAATGCCCGGCAATGTCTGCAGGAAAATATTCAGCAAATCCTTGCGCTGAGGTCCAAATCTGGAGGCCACACGACGATTGTCATGATTACCCAACACCCAGTTGGCATAGACATCCTCAGGCATATTATCCACCCAATGTTTGACATAGTAACGATAATCCTCCGCCGTGCTGTCCTTATTCAAGCTGGCCAACATTTCAAAATTGAAGGGTACATGGGAGCCGTTCCTTTGGCCATCGCCATACATTCTCATTAAATTCTCAAAACTGGTATAGGCTTCGGTCAACAAAATCTTAGTCGTCGAGTTATGTTCCAATTTCCAAATGTCAATCACCTGGCGCCATTGATAGACCATGTCAATGCATTCGGGTAGGGAGTTGGTATGGGGATGCTGTAGATGGCACCAGTCACTGGGATCGGGACATACCGACGTATCGGCAATTACAGGCTCATCGGGATAGGTCCCGGTCTCAGGGTCAATTTCACTTTCGAACAGAAAAGGCACAGCATCAATGCGAAAACCATCAATGCCATGATCCATCCAGAAATTCAAGACATCCTTCATGGCAGCCACCACATTAGGGTTGCGATAATTCAAATCGGGTTGCTTGACACCGAATTGATGCAAATAGTACTGCTGTCTCTGCTCGTTCCATTCCCAGGCGGAATATTTAAATTGAGACAACCAATTGCTGGGCGGTTCACGTTCACCCGTTTCCGAATTAATTTTGCCATCATGCCATACATAGAAGTCGCGATAGTAGGAGTCATTGGCCACCGATTTTTGGAACCATTCATGTTCGTCACTAGTGTGATTCGGCACGAAATCCAAAATCAATTTCAAACCCACACTATGGGCTTTTTCAATTAGGCGCAGGAGGTCATCCAAGGAGCCATATTCCGCCTGGACCTGGTAGTAGTCGGAAATGTCATAACCAAAATCGGACATGGGGGATTTCATGATGGGCGACAACCAGACACCATCCATGCCCAGGTCTCGCAAATATTCAATTTTCTGGGCCACACCTGGAAAAATGAAAAAAAAAAAAATAAATAAATAAAAAAAATTAAAAAAAAAAATAAAATCAAAAAAAAAATAAATAAAAAATTTAAAAAAATTAAAAATGGAAATTAAAAAAATAATTAGAAATAAATTAAAAAAAAATTAAAAAAAAATAAAATAAAAAAAAATTTAAAAATTTAAAAAAAAAATTAAAAATTAGAAAATTTTTACAAAACTCTAAATTTGAAAAAATATTGAAAAACTTAAAATTTGAAAATTGCTGAAAATCTCAAATTTTGTTTCTCACTCACCATTCAAATCACCCACACCATCTCCATTGCTGTCCCGGAAGGATCTCGGATAGACCTGATAGAAATTACCATTTTCCCACCAATCGCGAGCCGAGGCCTGTAGGGCCAAGCCCACCACACATAAACTTAAAAATTTCCACATTTTTCCACTGCAGCTTGATTTCCCAAGAGAAAATTGGTACTGCTTATCATTTTACTAAGATGTGGAGGTATTTATATGGGAAATATCTCTAAGCTGGCTCCAATGATCTCCCACAAAACATCTGTTCCAATATTATGGTGGTCATCATCTGGATAATAAAAACATTAAATATTTATTTTTTATGATCTACACTTTGTTTTTTTATTGACATTTGGGGAAAATTACGTCAATGATCATCAAGGGAAGGGAAAAAATGGGCATAGAAGGGGAATTTTTGAAGCATTGGAAAAAAATATTCAAAGCAGTTTTAGAGGCTACCAAACTTGGATTTTTCAAAGAATTTTTAGAGGTCACCGAAGACCAGAAAACGTAAATATTTTAAGAATTTTTAGAGGCCACCAAAGGACCAGAAAACGTAAATTTTTTAAGAATTTTTAGAGGCCACCTAAGTACCAGAAAACGTGGATTTTTTAAAGAATTTTTTGAGGCCACCTAAGGAACAGAAGACGTGGATTTTTTAAGAAATTCTAGAGACCACCTAAGGACCAGAAAACCTGGATTTTTTTTTTATAGAATTTTTAGAGGCCACCAAACGTGGATTTTTTAAAGAATTTTGAAGGGCCATCCAAAGACCAGAAAATTTGGATTTTTTTGAAGAATTTTTAAAGGCCACCCAAAGACCAGAAAATTTGGATATTTTTAAAAATTTTTAGAGGTCATTAAAGGACCCGAAAACGTGGATTTTTTAAAGAATTTTTAGAGGCCACCTTAAGACCAGAAAACTTGAATTTTTTAAGGAATTTTTAGAGGCCACCTAAAGACCAGAAAACGTGGATTTTTTAAGAATTTTTAGAGGCCACCTACAACCCCGAAAACGTGAATTTTTTAAAGAATTTTTAGAGGCCACCTAAAGACCAGAAAACATGGACTTCTTAAAGAATTTTAGGGGCCACCTACAACCCAGAAGATGTATATTTTTTAAAGAATTTTTAGTGGCCACCTACAACCCAGAAAACGTGGATTTTTTTAAAGAATTTTTAGAGGCCACCTACAACCCAGAAAACGTGGATTTTTTAAAGAATTTTTAGAGGCCACCTACAACCCAGAAAACGTGGATTTTTTAAAGAATTCTTAGAGGCCACCTACAACCCAGAAAACGTGGATTTTTTTAAAGAATTTTTAGAGGCCACCTACAACCCAGAAAACGTGGATTTTTTTAAAGAATTTTTAGAGGCCACCTAATGACCACCAAACGTGTATTTTTTAAAGAATTTTTAGTGGCCACCTGCAACCCGAAAACGTGGATTTTTTTTTAAGAATTTTTAGAACCACCAAAAGACCAAAATACGTATTTTTCAGGAATTTTTAGAGGCCACCAAAAGACAAAAATACGTATTTTTTTAGGAATTTTTAGGGGCCAAACGGATTTTTCTACAGAATTCTGTAAGGCCACCAAAAGTTTTTAAGGAATTTTTAGAGGACAGAAAAAATGGTTTTTACGGAAATTTTAGTGGCCATTTATTGAGCCAAAACCTTAGATTTTTTAAGAATCTTAAGAGCCATAATTCTGAAATTTTTAAAAAGTTTTTCAAGACTCACTGAAGTTTTTTTTCCTTTCTGAAGTACTTAAATTTTATCTATTTATAATACTGATATTTAACTTCAAGATCCCCCGTAGAACAATATCGACTTTATCAGCTGGAAATGTTTGTCGATTTCAAAATCAATGCTACTTGAGTGGGCATCACTTTAACGTTGATAACATCAATATGACTCAAATGCATTTTCATGAGTAGAAGGGATGATTCCTCTTCTTGAGAGCTAAATATTGTCATAGGTTAGCATTGGAATTTTTATTAAATAAACAGTTTTAAAAAATATTTTTTATCCAAATTTTTTTGGGGAAGAGAACTTGAAAGCTTTGTAAGGTTGTCAAAAAAAAAAAATAATAATATTTTAATAAAAAAAAATATTTTTTTCAAGGATGGATCAAAAATTAAATTCAGGGCAACTGACTTCTTCTCTTCTAAAGTTTTTTAACGAGTTATTATTTTTTTCGTTATTCGAAATTCGTTAAAAAATTCTGATTATGAAAGCCGCTAGAAAGAATATACTTTATTTTTTAGAGGCTCCACCTATTGATGACACTCTAGCTATCGCTAAAAAATCAACATTGAGATGTCGCTAAATTAAAAAAAAGGATTTTTTCGAGAATGTATTTTTTTCAAGGAATTGAAATTATCCAAAAAAATATTCCTCCAAAAAATAAAAATTAAGGTGTGGCTAGAAAAAAATCCTTTTTCTTTAGAGGCTCCATCTAGTGGTGATCCAAATGCATTTTTTAAAAAAAAAATCCACATTGTAATGTCGCTAATTAAAAAAAAACATATTTTCTTTGACGATAGAGGCTCCACCTATTGATGACACCCTAGCTATCGCTAAAAAAAAACAACATTGAAATGTCGCAAAATTAAAAAAAAGTATATTTTTCGAGGTTATATTTTTTTCAAGAAGTTGAAATTATCCCAAAAAATATTCTTCAAAAAAAATTAAGGTGTGGCCAGGAAAAATTTTTTCTTTAGAGGCTCCATCTAGTGGTGATCCAAAAGCATTCTTTAAAAAATCTACATTGTAATGTCGCTAATTAAAAAAAAACATATTTTCTTTGACGATAGGAGCTCCACCTATTGATGACACTCTAGCTATTGCTAAAAAATCAACATTGAGATGTCACTAAATTAAAAAAAAAGGATTTTTTCGAGGATGTATTTTTTTCAAGGAGTTGATATTATGCAAAAAAATATTCCTCAAAAAAAATTAAGGTGTGGCCAGGAAAAAAATTTTTTCTTTAGAGGCTCCATCTAGTGGTGATCCAAAAGCATTCTTTAAAAAATCTACATTGTAATATCGCTAATTAAAAAAAAACATATTTTCTTTGACGATCTAATTTTTTTTCAAGGATCACAAATAGCATTTGGGGACAATCGGCTTCATCTCCTCCATATATGTTTAAAATATCTTAATAATTACTTCCATATTCCTTTATTCAATTTATATCCAAATTAAATTTATATCCAAAACAATTTTCTTTTTTTTTTTTTTTTTGCCTTATTAAGGCAAGGTAATTTATTGTTGGATATTTGATAATTTTCTCAATTTTTTTTTTTAAAGGGATAAAGCCTGACCATTTTGCAACAACAAAATACTACGGTGTCCCGAACAAACAAGCCAAGGCTGTTCAATTTTCTCTTTCTTCAAAAATTCACTCCCCTAAAAAATTAAATTTTCCCCGAACCCCAAGGGGTGATATTTTATATTTTATTTACTCTTCTCACCTCGCAACACTTAAAAATCTCAGAAATTTTCTAAAAAACTTTGAGAGGTAAATTTAATTAAAAATGTTACTTTTGTTGACCAAACAATTGTAATTCGCGTTAAAAAATATTTAATTAACACAAAATATTTCCAGCTAAAATAAATAGAAAAAATGGCCAATATTTTGTTATAAAAGCAACCAAAATTCATCTAAAAACGAGTAGTTTATAACGGTATCGGTTCGCGAAAATATTCTTCCATCGATGCAAACGAAAAATTAAAAAAAAGAAATAAATTATAAAAAAATATTTTTGCCATGAAATTGCAATTGTGTCTCCTGGCGATTGCCACCTTATTCATGGGACAGACTTGGTCCAAGGATTGGTGGGAAAACGGGAATTTCTATCAAATCTATCCTCGCTCCTTTCGTGACAGTGATGGCGATGGCATTGGAGATTTGAATGGTAGGTGGAAGTGAAAGAAAAATTATTAAAAAAATCATTTAAAAAGCAAAGTGAAGGTTTGAAAAATAAATATAAACAGCTAAACGGAACCTGAAAAAAATATCATTAACAACTCAATTTGAAACTTTAAAAAATATTTTGAAAAAATTATTCTGTGGTGGCCTAAAAAAATTTAGAAAGTACTAAATGTGGAAGCCTTAAAAAAGTAATATTTAAAAAAATCACATCAAGGTGGCGCATTGAAAAAATATTCTTTAAAACCCCACATCGCGGTGGTGCTCATAAAAACTAATTCTTAAAAAATCCAGTCGGTGTTGACGTATAAAAAAATATTCAAAAATCTCCATTACGTAGTCGACTAGAATAAATAAAACAACCAGATCGTGGTGGCGCCCAACAAAAATATTCTTCAACAGATTATCATAATTATTGCCCTGGAAAAAATAATGTAAAAAAATACCTACTCCACACTCCACTTTTTGTGATCCAAACAAAAGTAAGGTTTAAATAATCCACTTTGTGGTGGCCCCGGACAAAGATTTTTTTAAAAACCCGACATAATGGTGGCGCTCTTCAAAAATGATTTATAAAAATTTACGTTACGTTGAGGTGTCGCTAGGAAAAAATATTTTCCTAAAATAATCCACATATAGATGTTGGAAGCAAACATTTTTTTTAAAAAATACAAGTTATTAAAAATTCTTTTTTTAAAAAGTCCGCTTTCAGGAGTTCCTATAAAATTATATTTTCTAAAAAATCCACGTTGAGGTGTCGCTAGGAAAAAAATTCACCCAAAAGAATCCACGTTTAGATGTTGGAATAAAAAAAAATGTTCTTTAAAAAAAATACAAGCTATTAAAAAATCTTTTGTTAAAAAATCCGCTTTCAGGAGTTCCTACAAAAAAATATTCTCTAAAAAATCCAAGTGTCGCTTGCAAAAAAATCTCCCTAAAAAATCCAGGTTTAGATGTTGGAGGAAAAAAATGTTCTTAAAAAAATACAAGCTATTAAAACAACTTTTTTTTTTTAAATCCGCTTTCAGGAGTTGCTATAAAAATATTCTCTAAAGAATCCACGTTCTGGAGTCGCCAGAAAAGATATTCTTTGAAAATATCCAAGTTCAGATGTCGCTCGAAAGATGTATTTTTTAAAAAAATCCAAGTTCAGAAATCGCTAGAAAAAATATTATTAAAAAAATCGACATTCAGGAGTCGATAGGAAAAATATGTTTTGAAAAATTCACCTTGTGATGTAGCTAAAAAAATATATTCCTTAAAAATTAACGTTGTGATGTCGCTAGAAATTTTTACTGAAATTTTCAATTTCTACGTTGAGGTGTCGCTAGGAAAAAAATATTCCCAAAAGAATCCACGTTTAGATGTTGGAAAAAAAATATTCCTTAAAAAAATACAAGCTATTGAAAAATCTTTTTTTTAAAGATCCGCTTTCAGGAGTTCCTACAAAAAAATATTCTCTAAAAAATCCAGGTTCAGGAATCGCCAGAAAAAATATTCTTTGAAAATATCCATGTTCAGATGTCGCTCGAAAGATGTATTCTTTAAAAAATCTAAGTTCAGAAATCGCTAGAAAAAATATTATTAAAAAAATCGACATTCAGGAGTCAATAGGAAACATATGTTTTGAAAAAATCACCTTGTGATGTAGCTAAAAAAAGTTAAAAATTAACGTTATGGTGCAGCTAGAAATTTTTTGAAATTTTCAAGTTCCACGTTGAGGTGTCGCTAGGAAAAATGTTTCCCTAAAAAATCCACATTTAGATGTCAGAAGAACAAAAATATTCTTTAAAAAATACAAGCTATTAAAACATTTTTTTAAATCCGCTTTCAGGAATTCCTATAAAAAGATATTTTCTAAAAAAATCCACGTTGAGGTTTCGCTAGGAAAAAAAATATTCCCAAAAGAATCCACGTTTAGGTGTTGGAAGAAAAAAATGTTTCTTTAAAAAATGCACGCTATTAAAAAATCTTTAAAAAAATCCGCGTTCAGGTGATCCTATAAAATAATATTTTCTAAAAAATCCAGGTTCAAGAGTCGCTAGAAAAAATATTCGTTGAAAATATCCACGTTCAGATGTCGCTCAAAAGATATATTCTTTAAAAAAATACAAGTTCAGTAATCGCTAGAAAAATATTCTTAAAAAATCGACATTCAGGAGTCGATAGGAAAAATATGTTTTGAAAAAATCACCTTGTGATGTAGGTGATGATGTGACTTCCTACAAAAAATATCCTCAAAAAATCCAGATTCAGGAATCGCAAGAAGATATATTCTTTGAAAATAACCACGTTCAGATGTCGCTGGAAAGATGTATTCTTTAAAAAAAATCCAAGTTCAGAAATCGCTAGAAAATTTATATTCAAAAAGTCGGCATTCAGGAGCCGATCGGAAAAATATCTTTTGAAAAATGCACCTTGTGATGTAGCTAAAAAAAATATATATTCCTTAAAAATTAACGTTGTGATGTCGCTAGAAAAAAAAATTAAATTTTCACGTTCAGATGTCGCTAGAAAAAATTCTTTAAAAAATAGTTCTGGACCTAGAAAGAAAAATATTTTTTGAAAAATTCACTTACAGTGGTCGCTAGAAAAATAGACTTTATTTTGGGCCTGGAAAAACGCATTCATTGAAAATTCCACCTTTTGCCGTCTCCTTAAAAATTAACGTTGTGGTGTCGCTAAAAAATATATTTTATAATTTTCACGTTCAGATGTCGCTAAAAAATAGTTCTGGTCCTGGAAAGAAGTTGTTGATAATTTATTTGCTAATCATTTAAATAATAAAATAATAAGTTTGTTGATGAGGAGAATTTTAAATGTAGATGGCGTTTCTTAGCATGAGAATTCTGAATGATATAAATTATTTTAGTTAATCAAATATAGATGGCGTTTCGGAAAAATATAAAGCACTCAAAAAATAGTTTAATGGCTTTCATTATTTAAATGGTTGCAAGGATGTTTGAGGATTATTTTCCCAGTTTCTTTCTCTTTATTTGGTAGCAAAAATAATTCAATTTTAATTATATAGAGTTTTTTTTATCCTAAACCCTTGTTTCCTGCCTTATGGCTTCAATCTCTAGATGTCAATTAATTCCCAATTTTATTTTCCACCACCAGGTGTCACCGAGAAACTCCAGTACCTCAAGGATATTGGCTTTACGGCAGCATGGCTTTCACCAATTTTCAAATCGCCCATGGCTGATTTTGGTTATGACATTTCCGATTTCTATCAGGTCCATCCGGAATATGGTACCATGGAGGATTTTGAAAATATGATACGAAAAGCCAAGGAGGTGGGCATTAAAATTATCCTGGATTTTGTGCCCAATCATTCGAGTGATGAAAATGAATGGTTCAAGAAATCCGAAGATAATGATCCCGAGTATCGGGACTTTTATGTCTGGCACAATGGCAAAGTGAATGCCACCACGGGAGAGCGTGAGCCACCCAGCAATTGGCTGAGTGCCTTCCGTTACAGTGCCTGGCAATGGAGTGAAAAGAGACAGCAATATTATCTCCATCAATTTGCCATTAAACAGCCTGACTTGAATTATCGCAATCCCAAGGTGGTGCAGGAAATGAAGAATGTCATGCGTTTCTGGTTGGCCAAGGGTATTTCCGGTTTTCGTATCGATGCAGTGCCATTTTTGTTCGAAAAGGAATTGGGCACGGATAACAACTATCCCGATGAACCGGTGGTAGAGAATGTGGCTGCCTGTCCAGATCCAGATGATTATTGCCATCTGCAGCATATCTATACGAATGATCAACCGGAAACTTTTGATATGGCCTATCAATGGCGTGCCTTGGCGGATGAATTTAAAAAAGAACATGGTGGCGATACCAGGATCCTGCTGACCGAGGCCTATACCAGTTTTGAGAATATTATGAAATTTTACGGGGATGGCCAAAGGAATGGTTCCCATGTGCCATTTAATTTTGATTTTTTGACAAATGTTTTGAATGACACATCGGCGGAGGATATTGTGGGCCACATCACCAAATGGTTGGATCGCATGCCCAAGGATGTCTATGCCAATTGGGTGTTGGGTAATCATGACAACAAGCGGTTGGCATCAAGGTTGGGTGTAAATAGGGCCGATTTGTTTAATATTCTGCTGCAGACTTTGCCCGGCAATGCTGTTACCTATAATGTAAGAGGGGTGGAGGGGGAGGGTAAAAATCGAGAATTGAAAAGTTTTGATTTTAATTTTTTTAGGGCGAAGAATTGGTAATGACTGATGTCTTCATTAGCTGGGAGGATTCAGTGGATCCCCAGGCCTGTAACGGCAATCCCCAGACCTACTATGGCCTGTCCCGAGATCCTGCTCGCACACCCTATCAATGGGATGCCTCATATTTGGCTGGTAGGAGGAAAATTTATTAAGAACTCCAGAAAATATTTTGAATCAAATCTTTTTCAGGTTTCACCACCGGCGATCACACCTGGCTCCCGGTGGCCGATAACTATGCCACCGTCAATGCCCTGGCCCAAATGCGTGCCCCTCAATCCCATTTGCAGATATTCAAGAAGTTGCTCAAACTACGCAAGGAACCCTCCTTCCAGGATGGCGAACTGAATATTCAAGCCATTCCCAATGACATCATTATCTATTCACGCCAGAAGACCGGCAGTGATCTGTATGTTGTGGTCCTGAATTTGGGTAAACAGGATCAGACCATCAATCTGAATCAATACTATCAGCTGGGTAGTCAGGCGGAAATTATTACCACTTCGGTGCATTCGAAAAATGTTGATGGGTAAGTGTTTTGGGGAGGGGGATTTTTGAATGGAAATTTAACAGCTGACATTTTTTAATCCTGTAGGCAAGTCATAAATCCTGGCCAGTTTGTGGCCGAAGCTGAGGTGGGAACGGTTTTGGTGAAGGTGTAAAAATATTGAATAAAAAATTCAATAAATCCTGTAGAGGAATACAAAATCAGCAGCGAAATAAAATGTATTTCAAAAATAATTCAATATTTTTTCTTTCAAGGATAATGCAAGGACCAAAGGAAAAGGATTTAAAAAAAAAATATTTTTTTAAAAAATATTTTTTAAAGAAATTAACAAACGTGTTTTTAAAAAAAATATTTTTTAAAGAAATTAACAATCGTGGATTTTTTAAAAAATATATTTTTAAAGAAATTAACAAACTTGGATTTTTTAAAAAATATTTTTTAAAGAAATTAACAAACGTGGATTTTTTTAAAATATTTTTGGGAGAAATTAACAACCGTAGATTTCTTAAAAAAATATTTTTTGAAGAAATTAACAAACGTGGATTTTTTAAAAATAATTTTTTTAATATTTCAAACAACTTGGATTTTTAAAAAATATTTTTTTAATGTTTCAACAAACGTGGATTTTTTAAAAAATATTTTTTTAATGTTTCAACCAACGTGGATTTTTTTAAAAATATTTTTTTAAAGTTTCAACTAACGTGGATTTTTTTAAATAAATTTTTTTTAATGTTTCAACCAACGTGGATTTTTTAACGTGGATTTTTTTTCAACGTTTCAGCCAAAGTGGATTTTTTAAAAAATATTTTTTCAATGTTTCAGCCAACGTGGATTTTTTAAAAAATATTTTTTAATTTTTCAACCAACGTGGATTTTTTTAAAAATATTTTTTTAAAGTTTCAACTAACGTGGATTTTTTAAATAATATTTTTTTAATGTTTCAACCAACGTGGATTTTTTAATAAATGTTTTTTCAACGTTTCAGCCAAAGTGGATTTTTTAAAAAATATTTTTTCAATGTTTCAGCCAAAGTGGATTTTTTAAAAAATATTTTTTCAATGTTTCAGCCAACGTGGATTTTTTAAAAATTATTTTTTCAAAATTTCAAACACCGTGGATTTTTTAAAAAATATTTTTTCAATATTTCAAAAAAACGTAGATTTTTTAAAAAATATTTTTTCAATGTTTCTACCAACATGGATTTTTTAAAAATTATTTTTTCAATGTTTCTACCAACATGGATTTTTTAAAAATTATTTTTTCAATGTTTCTACCAACATGGATTTTTTAAAAATTATTTTTTCAATGTTTCTACCATTATGCGTTTTTTTAAAAAATGTTTTTTTAATGTTTCAACAAACGTGGATTTTTTAAAAAATATTTTTTAAACAAATCAACAATCGTGGGTTTTTTAAAAAATATTTTTTAAACAAATCAACAAACGTGGATTTTTAAAAAAAATTTTTTTCAAAGAAATTAACAAACGTGGATTTTTTAAAAAAAAATTTTTTCAAAGAAATTAACAAACGTGGATTTTTTAAAAAAATTTTTTTAAAAAAATTAACAAAAAAAAGTGGATTTTTTTAAAAAAAAATTTTTAATAAAATTAACAAACAAATGTGGATTTTTTAAAAAATATTTTTCAAAGATATTAACAAACGTGGATTTTTTTAAAAATATTTTTTTAAAGAAATTAACAAACGTGGATTTTTTAAAAAATATTTTTTAAAGAAATTAACAAACGTGGATTTTTTAAAAATTATTTTTTAGAGAAATGAACAAACATGGATTTTTTAAAAATTATTTTTTAGAGAAATGAACAAACGTGGATTTTTTAAAAATTATTTTTTAGAGAAATGAACAAACGTGGATTTTTTAAAAATTACTTTTTAGAAAAATGAACAAACGTTGATTTTTTAAAAATTATTTTATGAAGAAATGAACAAAAGTTTTTTTTTTTAAATTATTTTTGGAGAAATGAACAAAAGTTTTTTTTTTAAAAATTATTTTTGGAGAAATGAACAAAGTTTATTTTAAAAATTATATTTTGGAGAAAAATATTTTTCAATATTTCAAACAACGTGGATTTTTATGTTAGCAGTCAGATAGCTTCTTGAATAAAAGACAAGTTGTGTAATTGATAGAAAGTAATCTTTACTGAACAAAGGTTTAAAGAGAAGTAGTTAGGTTACAATGAGATGATAGTTATAAAACCTAACGGAATACAACTTTAGTAAACTAGTACTAAAAGTATGAAGTAGTAAATGGGTTGTGAAACAAAACAGGGTGAATCTTCAGATGTATTTTACATACCCTACCTCAACCCATATACTATTTCCATAAACAGATAATTCGTTCAATTAATTTTCAGTTTGAAATAACATTTTCGAAAACTTGACATGTTTCTCTTTGGTCAAGCATTTAGTAAACATATCAGCTATATTAGTATCACTTGACACATATTCTAAAACAATGTCCTTATTTTCAAACTTTTCACGTATGTAGTGATATCTAATATCTATATGCTTGCTCCTTTTGTGAGCAACTGGATTTTCAACCATAAACTGGGCACTTTGGTTATCGCATCTTATTGTAGTCGCTGACTGGATAAATTCATGAAGTCCTATTTCAGCAAGTAGGCTTCTGATATAAACCACTTCTTTGGTGCCTTGACACATGGCAATATACTCGGCTTCCATGGAACTTAGTGCAACGATCTTTTGTTTCTTCGATTCCCAAGTTATTGGACCTCCAGCAAGAAAAATTACAAATCCACTAAATGATTTGCGGTCCACCACATTTGAGCCCCAGTCTGCATCTGTGTAACATACCAAATCATTAGAAGAACTGAATGATAACGTACCTTTTGGATTTTGCTTCAGGTATCGCAAAACATTTTTGGCTGCAACAAAATGCTCCTTGTGTGGATGACTATTAAACTGCGAGAGCTTTGACACGATGTGTGATATGTCAGGACGTGAGGCAGCAGATAAATATGTCAGCGATCCTATTAACGACTGGTATATTTTTACATCAAATCCATGACAGTTATCTTCTTTACAAGCTTCCAAGACCGTTCCAGCCACAAAAGGGGTAAACAATGGCTTACATTGTTCCATATTCCATTCTCGAATCAATTCTTCTGTATACGATAACTGATGTACTGATATATTTCCTCGAGGACCGTCTCTTTTTATCTCCATCCCCAAATAGTAATTGACCGGACCTCTGTCAATCGCATCCACATACTTATTCAAGCTCAGTACCACCTCGCTTAATGTGTTCTCCTCTGAACATGCGAGTAAAATATCGTCGACATAAATAGCCAACATTACCAATTCTCCCTCCTTATGCAACACGTACAAGCAACTATCAGTCTTGCAGCGAACAAAATTTAAATCGAGCAATATTTGGTTTATTTTGCGATACCAATCTCGGCCAGCCTGTTTGAGACCATAAATAGATTTTTTTAGCTTGCAAACTCCATTTGGGATATTTTTGTCAATAAACATAGGCGGCTGCCGCATATAAACCTCTTCTTTCAATTCACCATTAAGGTATGCAGAAACAATATCGATATGGTTGACAAGCATCTTCCGACCAGCAGCAACAGCAAACAACATTCTAATAGCAGTAAATCTCACAACTGGGGAGTACGTTTCATTATAGTCAATTCGGAACTTTTGAGAGAATCCCTGAGCAACAAGTCGTGCCTTGTGTTTAACAATATTTCCAGAAGGGTCTCTCTTGGTGACAAACACCCACTTACAACCAACAGTATTCTTTCCATCTGGTCTCTCCACAAGTTCCCATGTGCTTTTTCTCATCAGTGACTCATATTCCTCTCTCATTGCCTTTCTCCAGTCATTTGCGTTGGAAGATTGCATCGCCTCCTCAACCGTACTCGGATCTTTATTAATTTCTTCGACTTTATTTACAATTTGAGTAGGTTCCACAACGAATATTTTTTTTGGTCGTCCTTTTCTTCCCGTTTTCACTATTTTCGGCCTACCTCTTTTTCTTTTCTCACCAACTTGCGCGTTGACTGATCCATCCGTTGAGAATTCACTATGGTTGTCATCCGATTCATTTGCATTGTTGCTCTCTTGAATTCCTCTTTCGGGTTGACATTCGCTATCGGGAAAAGGTTGAAGATTTAATTCAACATTAAACCAATCATCTTTGTTCCGCTTTATTCCATCATCCGTATCGACTGTATTTGTAAATTTCTTTTCAAAGAAAACAATATCACGAGCAATAACAATATTTCTGCATTCTTTGTTGTATAATCGGTAGGCCTTCGACTGGTGTGCATAACCAACAAAAACATATGGCTTTCCTTTGGGTTGTAGCTTAGACCGACCTGGCTTTTTGTCCAAGGCAACAACGTCGCATCCAAAACATCGAAGATGAGCCACTGTAGGTTTTCTACCAAACCAACATTCATAGGGCGTCTTGTTTTTCAAAACCTTTGATGGGCAACGATTCCTTACGTATGTGGCTGTGTTGACGGCTTCGGACCACAAAGAATGAGGAAGGTTAGAGTCACATAACATACACCGCGCCATCTCAACTACGGTTCTGTTTAATCTTTCGGCAACTCCGTTCTGCTGCGGGGTGTATTTTACTGTAGTCTGGTGTTCTATGCCTGCCGACGATAAATACAGTTGAAATTCGTTAGACAAATACTCACTCCCGTTATCGCTTCTTAGAATTTTCATTTTACAACCAGTCTGTCTTTCTGACATCGTACAGAAATCTTTGAAAACTTTAAGGGCGTCTGATTTTTTTCTCAAAAAATAGATTGTCGCGAAGCGTGAGTAGTCGTCAATAAAAGATATGAAATATCTGGAACCACCTTCGCTTACAACTCGCATTGGACCGCATATATCCGAATGCACTACCTCTAATGGCTTCTTACTGAAACGTTCTCCATATTTAGTAAACGGCTTAACAGTCATCTTGCACATAGCACATGTCACACAATCGATTTCAGCTTTTGGGTCTATGGCCAGTCCTCTCACCATTTCCAGATTCTGTAACTTTTCCATATCTTTGCAATTTAAGTGGCCCAGCCTACGATGCCACAGCGCATTATCAGCTTTCTCGTTCACCATCATCAATTCCTCTTTCACATAAAATGTTGTGGTAAATATTCCACCTTTAGGCTGAGCTTCGAAAATCAAATGATTGTTTTTATTTTTTGCGCACA